TAAGTGGCTAATGATAAAAGTTTTTGAAACTGGTCCAGAGAGAGACTGCGGCTAAACAGGCTGCAATGTTAACCCGACAAGCTGTACACCATTATTTTATGTCTATTACACGTGCTTATTTTTGCCACTGAAAGCCTCAGGTTGTTAATAGAAGAGTCTGACAATACGAAAACAGAGAAATTAAACGTTTCCTTACCTTTCGAGGTTCTGTTTTCAACGCTAACGAAGTCTCGCTTTGAAATCTCGCGGTCTTTTCACGTTGTCAAAATTAAGCATGACACTTTAAGTCTTAGATAACACTAAGTTAAGCTTTCGAGTAGGGTAAATTATTGAAGCTTTCTGTGCTCGAACACAACAAACTCTTCCCGCACTGCTCTCTCCAACTCTAATTAAGGTTCCCACCTTGTTTTCCTACAGGTCACCTCTCGCGAGATTACAGAACAAGACTCCTCCTTGACAAGACTTGGGGTGCGTTCCGAATCGCATATTCTTTCTTTTTACTTCTAGTATGTACTGCAGCTGCCCTTAAAAGTACGCACTGTTGCCTGCAGTATGGCCACAATCAGGATATACCACTTTCTCATAACATCAAACCCTGAATTTTGACCCTCTTACTTATATATCCATTACCATGGAGATAAAACAAAATGGTGTTCACCAAGCTCGCCAGAGACGGAGGTCAAGCCTGAGAGCTCTGATGTTGTTTTTTGCAATAAGTAATAATTGCATACATTGTAGATTCCGAAATGTTACACTCACCGGCCACTTTATTAGGTACACCTGTGCAGCTGCTCTATAATGCAAATCACTAATCAGCCAATCATGTGACAGCAATTCAATACATCTAGACATATAGACATGGTCAAGACAACCTGCTGAAGTTCAAACTGAGCATCAGAATGGGGAAGAAAGAAGATTTAAGTGACTGATCGTGGCATGGTTGTTGGTACCAGACAGACTGGTCTGAGTACTTCAAAAACTGATGATCTACTGGGAGTTTCACACACAACCGACAAATCTGCAGCAACTGTGTGATGCCATCATGTCAATATGGACGAAAATCTCTGAGGAATGTTTCCAGCACATTGTTGAATCTATGCCACCAAGAATTAAGGTAGTTCTGAAGGCAAAGGAGGGTCCAACTCAGTACTGGCAAGGTGTACCTAATAAAGTGGCCAGTGAGTGTATATTCACAAAAGTAAAATTACACAGGCTATACATTTCTCTGTCATTGTTATCTAATACTTATGTTTGTTGTTGGTTATATTTATGATTGTTTTATTCAATCAAACAGTTAATATTCCCAAAATTACTAATCCACTGGTCATCAGTCACCTGAATGGGCTGTCATTCATCATTGCGACTTCAACAGTCGATGTGAGGGATCATCTGCTGCACATAGGATTGTGGGTCGGAAAAGCATGCTACTTTACATATTGCAAAATCTGACTAGATGTAGTAGAACATCCTGGTATTTCTGGCATACTGCATTTGACATCCTATGTATGAGGTCACACTAAATCTTTTTCTGGTTACTATATAGTATGGTAGTATGGGTATTGGAACGCACATGGGTATAGGTCACAATAACAAATACACCAGCGAGAGTAACAAAAAAACGCTTAATTTCTTTGTAGGGTCTTTTCTGTAACGGTGTCAGACACTTATTAAAACAATCTGAGCCTGTCGGTGGCAAAAACAAGCACATTCAATGAATGTAAATAGATGGTGCACAACTGCCTGTAGTGATTTCATTGCAGCCTGTTTTGCAGCTGTGTCTCTGTTGGAAGAAGTTGTCTTGGTTAATGTTAGGAGAAAAAAAATGTGGTTTGGGTTAAAATGAATAGATTAATTAATTTCTTTTTGCCAAAAAAGGGCATAAACCAACCTCGTAGAAAAATAATCTTTTATGTCCGTTTCTCTCCCTACTGAACCAATTTTAAAAACTGGTGTTTCCATTAGTCCCTTGGACACACAAATATGGGAAAACAGGTTTCCTATCAACTACAGAAGTGGAGGATCAGTGCAACAGTCACTTTAACTCTTCGGATCTTGCTCATCAGGAAAATGGCATGCAGGAAGTAAAGGACGTATTGAAGACACAGATTGATGATTGATTCTTCTAATAAAATCTTTTATTTAATTTTAATCATGTAGGCTAATATTTCTCTCATTCTCCATCTGTCTCGCGGTCTCTCCGTCTAATCAATCTCTGAGGAACATCAAATATAACAAGATCAAGCAGATGAAAAAAAGGAAATTAGAAACCAGTCAGGAAGACAAAAAGACATTAACTTTTAATAGGTTTAGCTCACTTCATAGTTCATTTTATAGAATAAATACTCGTCGTTTTTCTAAACCGATAAACCACCTAAAACCCTTTTTATTTAATATCGCTAAGTTTTCTCAGTTATCCAGCATGAGAATGTGGAAAGGTGTTCACTTCTGGTATACACAAAAAAAAATGGTTTCACTGTATTTAGTACAGTTCTTAAGACATTAAGTGCTCCTCTGAATAATGGGTAAAAGGAATATTGGGGAAACAAGCAACAACAAAGTTCTTGTTGAGTTTAAGACATACAGTATTTCCTTATACCTACTTAGACACCAACAGGCATGAGTAGAAAAGAACATTTCTCAGAAGAGGGGGAGGGTTTGTTTAAAAGTCATAATGCAAAAAGGCTAAATTCATCCAGGACTGCTGTAACAGCAGCAATACTGTTCTACCAAACCAAACAATGATTTAAAGGCATTTTCACTTATAGTTGTCTTTCTTATGTCACAACCTGTCTCATGACAGCATTGATTATAATAATCAGCAAAGCATTCCATGTGATTGGCAATAATATAGTAAAAGTAGGCGATCTATAGCATCTGAATGTTCACGCAAACAATATTGCAGCACCCCTGCTATAGGCCTACATGCACTCATCTGCCCTCAGTCCCACTTTCCATTCCCAAGCCAGCAATTCTGCATTAAGAATTCATCATAACCTATTGAAGGCTTTTTATGCCACAGTGAAATATGAGTATGAGTCTTTTTCCAAGAAAGATGAATTCCTTTCATGTGTGCGATGATTTAATGACTTTTGTTTCATGGGAGTTTTTATTGAATAGTTTATAGCTTTGTTTTGTGCACTGCCCTTTGATGACGGCCGCAGTCTGATTTAAAAAGCAGACCAAATAAAATAGGGTGACAAAGCTGATTAAGACAATCAGATAAAGGAAGTGCAGCTTCAAGATATTAATTAAAGCACACCATCAGACGGGTCAGTTGGATCCTAGAATACCCAAATCTTCCACTAAAATAAGAGTTGACCTCCTTCCTTCTTGTCACTGCTGAAATAATTCTGGCACTTACATGTCTGGTTTATTCCAGTGGCTATCAGAGGGCCTGGTCTTTTGTTTAACATGTACAGTCAGGTCCATAATTATTTGGACAATGATACAGTTGTCGTCATTTTGGCTCTGTACACCACCACAATGGGTTTTAAATGAAACAATGAATACCTGCTTAAAGTGCAGACTCTCAGCTTTCATTTAAGGCTTTTTTCAAAAATGTAGTATGAACCGTGTAGGAATTACAACCATTTCTTCACACAGTCCCCCAACTTTAAGGGCTCATAAGTATTTGGACAAACTAACATAATCATCAATTAAACAGTCAGTTTTAATACTTGGTTGCAAATCCTTTACAGTCAATGACTGCCTGAAGTGTTGGACACATAGACATCATCAGATGCTGGGTTTCTTCCCTGGTGATGCTCTGCCAGCCCTTTACTGCAGCTGTCTGCACTTCCTGCTTGTGTTTTGGGTGTTTTGCCCTCAGTTTTGGCTTCAGCAAGAGAAACGCATGTTCAGTTGGATTCAGGTCAGATGATATGACTTGGCCATTGCAAAACATTCCACTTCTTTGCCTTAAAAATGTCTTTGGTTGCTTTTGCAGTATGCTTCAGGTCATTGTCCAACTGCACTGTGAAGCATCGTCCAATGAGTTTTGAAGCATTTGGTTGAATCTGAGCAGATAATGGTGCCCCAAACACTTCAGCTTTCATCCTGCTGCTCTTGTAAGCAAGACAAGACTTCACTAGAATAAATACAGAGGGTTTATCACAAGATGCAAACCATTGGTTAGCCTTAAAAATGGAAGACCAGATTAGAGTTTGTCAAAAACCATCTAAAAAGCCTGTACAGTTGTGGAACAGCATACTATGGACAGATAAAACAAAGATCAACTACCAGAATTATGGGAAGACAAGAGAAGGAAGAAGGGAAGGAACTGCTCATGATCCAAAGCACACCACCTCATCAGTGAAGCATGGTGGAGGTACTGTTATGTCATGGCCATGTATGGCTGCCAGTGGAACTGGTTCTCTTGTATTTATTGATGATGTGACTGCTGACAAGAGCAGCAGGATGAATTCTGAAGTGTTTGGGGCACCATTATCTGCTCAGATTCAACCAAATGCTTCAAAACTCATTGGACGATGCTTCACAGTGCAGTTGGACAATGACCTGAAGCATACTGCAAAAGCAACCAAAGACATTTTTAAGGCAAAGAAGTGGAATGTTCTGCAATGGCCAAGTCATATCATCTGACCTGAATCCAATTGAGCATGCGTTTCTCTTGCTGAAGCTAAAACTGAGGGCAAAACACCCAAAACACAAGCAGGAAGTGCAGACGGCTGCAGTAAAGGGCTGGCAGAGCATCACCAGGGAAGAAACCCAGCATCTGATGATGCCTATGTGTCCAACACTTCAGGCAGTCATTGACTGTAAAGGATTTGCAACCAAGTATTAAAACTGACTGTTTAATTGATGATTATGTTAGTTTGTCCAAATACTTATGAGCCCTTAAAGTTGGGGGACTGTGTGAAGAAATGGTTGTAATTCCTACACGGTTCATACTACATTTTTGAAAAAAGCCTTAAATGAAAGCTGAGAGTCTGCACTTTAAGCATGTATTCATTGTTTCATTTAAAACCCATTGTGGTGGGGTACAGAGCCAAAATGACGACAACTGTATCATTGTCCAAATAATTATGGACCTAACTGTAACTTTGTACTTTGAATCATGTCTGGTGTCTGGGTCCTAATCCTTAATTATTGGCTTTTAACAATGTCTTTTATTTAATCTAATTTCTTCTTACATGTTGAGATTTATGATTGTTATATTGTCACTTGGTAGGTGAAAGCTCATGATCTGTGTGGATGACTTAAAACATTATTGAGATCGACGACTAATGTAAAGAAGCAGCAAATTCGCGATAATGGAATTTGCTTTTTAATGTAAATGTCTACCTCAGCATACACGCCCTTTTGCACCTTACAAACTGGATGATTCCAGGGCTCCACACTGAACACGGCGCTTACGAAACTGTACTGTACACTCAATCTGAGTCGACGCTCAGGCAGACATTCACAACGTTACACAAAGGTTTGTGCACTTAAAACTTCTTAGAACAGGAGTACTGATGTAGGACCTCTCATTAGGTCAATAGTTTACATGAACTTTGTATTTCATTCATGAAATGCACCCATTGAGACCATTAAGATGTCTTAAGGCCGGTAAACAAACAATAGATTCACCTTGTTTGTAGTTTAACATCACAAGAAACGGCGGCACTACTTCCAGCAGCAAAGACAGTTGTTTAGTGACAAAGGTCTTGGGGTTGTATGTGCACTGAATCATCTGCGCATCATCTTAAGCCACTGGGCTGGCTATAAAACTGCTACTCTGTGCAAATATCATTTAACTTTTCTGTGTGGGGTTGTCTGTAAGAAAAGAATAAACATGTTAAGTTAAAGTTTGTGAGTATTCACTCAGTCACAAGTGTATAAACTTATGCACACTCAAACAAATAAGGATAAATGCTTCCTTCTATTTAAGATAGTAAAAGGCAAATGTTTCCATCTATATGTTACATCATCATGTTCAACTAAAAAGGCAGATACGTATGTACTGTATTTAGTCAATTTGTTAAATAACGGGAGCTACTTTAAATCTCTACAAATCATTAGACAACCAAGGCCAGTCAGTGTTTCTTGTTACTTTCATGGTGTTGGTATGTGATGTGAAAATAAACTGAAAGACCTCAAATGAAATAAAGTGGTAGTTTGATTTGATATGGATGCTTAAATGAACCGATACTGATGCAGTAGGTCTTGTTGAAACTAATGGTCTATAAAAGGAGATAAGATACATGATTCCCTAATACTGTACATGCTCATATACACTGTGGTTTATACTTTTACCATTGGACTCAAAGTTTTTGGTCCTCTCAGTACAGACAACAATTTTACTTTTTCTCTCTTCTCGATTGATGCTAATTGACGAAAAAATGTCTAATCCGGGGAAAAATTATAGTTTCAATATTTAGCGTATCCTATTGACATATCTACAGAGAGAGATGCATGTAGTTACTTGGGACATCATCAATAGAGGATGGAATTATTTTCTAAAAAAAAACCAAACCCAATCTTTTCTGTTTCTTTGAGTCAGGAGCTGCAAAACACCAATGGTGTGTGAAAAGAAATCAATCAGTGGGTAATCAGTGGGTAAAGTCCATTGTACAGTACAAACATCAAAAATCAGTCTGAAGCAGCACCACCTTCGTGTGCCTCTGTTGAAGAACAACGCACGGTTAACCACCTCCCGCACACACAAGGATCCAAACTAGAACTCAAACACGTCATTCTGCTTCTTCGCCAACTTGGCCACCTCCTGACGGATAGCCTGCACGAGTGCAGAGGTGGAGAGGCTGCTCAGGGGCATGCTGTCCATGTCCTTCACCACCTGGGGCAGGCTTTGCTGGGAGGCTGTGCTAGGGGCAGTGGGCGGCTGCTCCAGTGCCTGGTTGTATTGCAGGGGCAGCCTGGTGGGGCTCCCCTGTGGGTAGCGAGGATGAGGAAAAGCCTCTACATACCCAGGCAGGGGCACCTGGAAAACAGGGTAGACATGTAATCAGTAATACAATAATACGTATTATCACTGCCCACGAAAAATAATGGCTACCAATTAGATAATTAGAAGGATACAGTATATGCGAAAGTTTCTTTTTGTTATTTTGCTGCGTGAACATTTTCCCTGCACCACTATTTTAGACAGAATTCAATGGGTGATAAGGGAAAATATACACATTTGTATCTGAGAAAAAAATCATTATAAATGAGCCAAAAGAACAGGGAAGGTAATGAGTGTGGAGGTCTACTGTGTGAGTGTATGATACTGAAATGGACTTTGATTCAAACAGTGTTTGAACTCCAGAATGGGCTACTTTTGAATGTTAGTACAAAATCTTCATGTGTCAGATTTACACCACAAGAAATAGGAAGAAAAAAAAAGAAGTAAAAGAGGTGTTCATTTAAGAAATGTGCTCAACTACCCCGGTATTTTGTTGTGTCCACTCAACGCCAGCCATAAATTCAGATCAGCAAATGGTTTCTAAATGACACTGGTTCTGCAAAAAGACACTGCGTGAAGACATCTGGTTGAAACAGGCAAACAGACAAGGAAAAAAAGAGAAAACATTCCATACAAACAAGGAGACTCCTGTGCAGGGGAGGGGAGGGGACGGGGAGGGGAGGGGAGGGAAGGGAGGGTCACATGGCTTATAACAGATCTGACAGGACGAATGGAACCTGTCTTATTTTAATGAAAAACAGAGGAGACGGTAGGAGGATTATTGTTTAATGAGGCCCAGAACTTTTCAAGGGTAGATAGGAACATGAGCACAAAAAGACTTATGTCAGTGCTGCACATGAAAGATATATTTCCCTGCTGATATGTCCTTATTTTGTGTTTCTGAGTGTTTATTCCTTTTTCAGCCCTTGCTGGTGCAGTGATGTAGCTCACTCTCTGGCTCCATAAGGTGACCAGAAGTCATGGGAAAACATCCCGATAACCAGGAGGGGAAGGTGGGGTATTTTATTAACACTACAGCAATCACTTTTTTTCCAACTGCTCAGTGAAAAACTATAGAATTCAATTGTCTCAGGCTTCTTGTCTGAACTGTTTAAAGTCAAAGCACTGGCCATTGTAGTCTCTGTACGAGTCTAAAGTACAGACACTGATTGAGTCTAAACTTACAACTACATCACTTACAAGAGTGAGAAACAAAGACTTTCTTTTCTGTGTACTTTTCTATCCTGGACATAGCATTAATCAACCCCTTGCTAAGCCCCGCCCCTGGATGCAGACTGGCCAATCATAGCGTAGCATCAGGCCTGCTCAGGCAACACACAACACAGCTTTGCTCCATTGACTCTAATGCAATCGTTTCAGATTTCCTTCATTTTCAGGCTGGTTTTGTGGATTTGGAGCTAAATGTTGTGCCTGGGGCACGTCATGTATTAATGATAGTCATTACCTGGAGAGGTTGGAAAAAGATATATGTTTCTTCCCTGTTCCAAAATCAAAATCAGACCCTGAAAAGTGTAGGGTTGTCTTTTTAACCTGTTGTTGCTGCTGAGTCAGTTTGACATCCTGGATATATCCTTCAAACACAGACTGTAGACCCCTCTGTCTGCTTCTCTCTGGAATCACTATTTCATTTTCCCAAAAACATGATAATATTTCTTCAGGGAGTGCAGTTGGTTACAGTGTGGGCTCCATGTTTACTCCAACAGCTTGTTGGACCAATGCAAAGGGGCGGGACTTAGCAAAAGGTCAATTGTGAAAGAAATTTTACAGTAGTCACTTAGATTAGCTTATTATCTGATAAGTAAAGACCTAATTATTAGGACAAAGAGCTGTTGGGGCATTCAGACATATGATTGAATACTGGCACTGTCCTAGTTTAAAGCTACAGTTAGCATTTATGAAAATACCTGCCTCTAATGGCATTCGCTAGAATCTACCACAGCACACTGGAAACAACCAATCAGAGCTGAGGAAATGCAGCGGTCAGCCATGTCAATCATACTTGTGAACTTCGATCAAACTATCAAACTAGGCAGTGCCGATCAAATATGAATCAAGATTCTGCTAATGCATTGCCTATTTCTCCCCTTAAATGTTTTCAGAAACATACTTTAGTGTACTGTTTAGCTGTAATGGGAATTTCATTCAGCCAGTGGGCAGTGCTTCCTACTTCAGTCAACTATTTCCAACATTGCAGCTGCGTCACAACCTTTCTCGCCTAATATGTTCTCAGAAACATATTTTAGGTTGTGTCCGAGATTGCTCACCACTTACTACATAGTCCACTATATAGTGAGTTCGCCATTTTGTAGTGCTGTCCCAATGTATAGTAGGAAGAATTATACCTTATACAGAGGACTCAAAGTATCCCACAATGCACCATGAATAATAGTGTACAACTGACAGTCACTCACCAAGCAATACATCCCATCATGCATTGCGCCAAAGTAACAAATGGACTATATAGGACAGACACAGAGAAGGATGAGGTGAGAGAGGGCAGCTCGATTAAAACCTGCTGTACATGTTTAACTTATAATGACATGTTTACCAGTTTTTATTTGCCATAATTTCAAGTTTTTATCACATATGCATGTCAGTATTTGTTACGAATGGTTCACCAGCTGAGTAGTATCCAAAAGTGTTTTTTTCATGTTGCAGATAAGCTCACTATATAGTCCTCTACATAGAACTCTCTACATAGTGAGTAAGGAGTGTGAATGAGAGACTTTGTGACCCAGCTGCAATGTTGGAAATAGCTGACTGAAGTACGAAGCACCGCCCACTGGTCGAATAAAAAATTCCCATTTTACAGCTAAACAGTACACTAAAATATGTTTCTGAAAACATCTGAAAGGAGAAACAGGCAATGCAGTAATAGAGTCTAGATTCATATTTGATCAACACTGCCTAGTTTGACAGTTTGACCGCAGTTCACAAGCTGTGAATGACATGACTGACAGCTGCGTTAGAGACTCCTCGGCTCTGATTGGTTGTTTTCGTTCATGTGCGGGAAGGCCATTATAAGCGCTATGAGGAAATGGATTAGGGAGAAGAATATGATTTTTTTTTTCACAAATCATCTGCCTCATTTAGTGCTGTGTGAATACAGTGACAGTGTCAGCAAATATAAAAAAGTTACCAACTACAGCTATAATGAAGATGTTTGGTCATGCTATTCTACCATTGTAAACTGCTCATCTTTCAGTTATTCATTTATTCATGTTTTGCAGGATTGGGTGCTTCCTCGGCAAACAAAATGGGCTTCCTTACAGAGTCTGCCCACTGTGGTGGCACATCCTCGGGTTCAGGTGGATAGGACATCCAGGACGGACTGTGGTAGGAGGTGGGTGGTGTGGAGACAAAGTATTCTGAGTAGCCGGGCCTGGTGGCTGGGATGGCGTAGACGGCTGTTATTGGGTTTCCTACAGAGACGACAAGAGAGGCTGACGTTCACTGATGATTGTATTTCAGGAGATGTATTACTGTTCTTGAAAGAATATGTTGTCATGGAAGCAAGGCACATTATGGGTTTCTCTTAAAAGGCAATGTCATCTCCTCATAGACGTACCTGAGTAGTTGGACACAGGCTGCTCTGCAGTGATAGATGGAAGTGCCGCTCTAACTGTTGGCCCGTATGGGTTGTTGTCATGTTGACTCTGCATTTCAGTGACAGATGTCTCTGAGCTCCTTCCCTTAGGCCCCAAGTCAGAAGTGGAACTAAGTTGGGCAGAGATTGGAGAGGCATAAACATAGAGGTACTGATGTGCTTGGTCAGTACCACTAGATGGCAGACATACTCCATGTGGAAAAGTGACTGCCTTATTAACATGCTTGCCATCTCTCAATGCACTAGTTCAATATTCAAATTTAAACAAGGCCTAAAATCACTCTGGCCACAGCACATTACCTGGCGAATATCTGGTCCCTGAATATGAATTTGAATGTGAATAGCTGTGGAATATCTGATGGGCTTTGGGATGCTACAGACAGGGTGTGTATGTGTCTGGTTGCTTGCATTTGTATGCGTGTGTGTGTGTGTGTGTGTGTGTGTGTATGTGTGAGACCTATTAAGCCTTACCGTCTTAAGGAGGTCCCAGGAGGAGGTCCAGTGCGAGGCGGTAAAGGGGGAGGAGAACCCATGGCCATCTCAGGAAGCTGGGTGAAGCGAAAGGCCTTAAAGAGATAGTGAAAGGCATTTAAGGTTACATAAACTCGAACACAGTTCTTAGGAGAGGGGAAATAATCTCATCCCACTTACCGGTTTAGGCAGGCTGCATTGATACATTTCTGCGCCATAAGATGGTACCCACTGCAGGCCTCCCCGTCCACAACTCATTGTACCCGGGGCACTGGTCACCACGTCTGCGTAGGGGAGGGGAGGCGGTGCGTTGTTGTAGTGGTCAGGAGGGGGGTGGTGGTGATGGGAGTGCCTTCCGGATGTGGACTGCCCCCCTGAAGCCAGGCTGAATGCCTCCTCCAGCAGCAGGTGCATCTGCTGTCGCACTTCATCAATGGACGGCTGTGAGCTCAGAGTGGATGTCTCTGAGTGGCCTTTCAAGCCCCGGCCGTACATGTACCCCCTCGGCCCCATTAGACGGTCAACATTTGTCTCCTCAATCAACTCAGGCTCAGTCTAAAACATATAGAAACACGTTTACACGAGGATATGAATTGAGAATCAACTAAAAATGTTCCTACAGCTTAAGGAAAGTTAGATCCAAGACTTTTTAATGGCACAAAGAATGAAATTAAGACCAATTTGGGTAGGGAATTCCACAGAGAGGAAGCAGCAACTAAAAAAGGCCTGTCACCCCAGGTTCGGCACTTGGTTCTGGGTATTTGAAGGAGGCTGGCATCAGCAGAGGGGAGACAACAGGAGGGGGACTACTGATGGACAAGGGGAGAGAGATATGGAAGAGCTAGATTGTTAAGGGCCTTGTAGGTGATGAGTAGAATCCTGAAGTGTTTAACCGGGAGCCAGTGGAGGTCATGGAGGACTGGGGTAATGTGGTCACGTGAGCAAATTCTGGTAAATAGGTGGGTAGCAGAGTTCCCTACATGCTGAAGTTTATTGAGGACAGTGTTTGACAGCATGCTACTGCAGTAGTCAAGCCTGCATGTTGCAAGTGCATGGATGAGTGTTTCAGCAGCGGAGGGTGACAGAGAGGGTCGGAGGCGGGCAATGTTGTGGAAGTGAAAGAAGGCTGTTTTGGTGATTTGGTTGACATGAGGTATGAAGGAGATGGTGGGGTCAAAGACAACTCTGAGGTTGCGGACGATGATGATGGGGATGATGACGTAGCCATCAGTGGTGAGTGAGTAATTCTTGGTAGGGCAGGTAAGGGAGTCTGGGCCAGTGATCAAGATTTCCAACTTATTGCAGTTCAGTTTCAGAAAATGTCTTTGTAGCCATGTTTAAATATGGCAGTGATGGTAATGAAAGAAATGTAGAGCTGTGTATCATCTGCGTAACAGTGAAACTGGAGGTCGTGGAGGTGGAGGATTTGTCCAGAGAGCAGCATGTAAAGGTAAATTTGCCCTTCCCCATGTCATCCAGGGTACAGTGACATCTAGCTAGCAGACAGTGGATCATCTGCTCTGAACAACCTGGCCAGAAACAAATTATGAGTGATGCTGGTCCTGCTATCCTGATCTGCATGACATCAATGCAAGATGCTTTTGGTAAATTATTTAAAGAAAAATTTGATGTTACCAATCATTTTGAGACCTGTCAGAAAGATGAAAAAATCATAAAAATCCTCCTTCCCTTGTCTTAACATTTTAGGGCTTTTGAAAGATTAATTTAAAGATTATTTTTTCATTTTAATACTAATTAAGGCCTTATTTTTGGATTAATGAATGCAATGTCTTTTTAAGACTTTTTAAGGATCCAGGCAGGAACCTTTCATACATACAAAAATAAAATAATATGAAACTGTGGGACAATTTTGAGTGAAGTGCCGACATTTAAAGGTAGTTTAATGATAATGGGCTTGTGCGGGTGAATCTATGGCCACACGGGAAGGCATGTTCTGACTTTCACCTCGATCAAAATATCAGAAAATTCAATCTCTCTTTCCTGAATAGGCAGGATATAAAGAGATGCAGTTTGAGAGAGCTGGAGAGTTACAAGTTCCATAATGTCTCCTGTCATTCTCTCAGTGGGTTGTTGACAGGGTGCTGACTGAGCTGGAAGAGGCTTATTAATGTTACGCAGAGTTTCTGAGACAAGTCAGCTGGAGGAGTTTGATCCAGCTGTGTTACTGCTTGGTCACAGTAGGTTCAGCCAGCAGCACCAGGCAGTTTGTTTCTAACCTGCACTTTTCTGTACTCATAAGCAGAGGTGTGGTCTTGAGTCACATGACATGATTCAAGACACAAATGTAATGACTTTAGACTTGGTAAATGGACCTGCATTTGTATAGCGCCTTTCTAGTCATCTGACCACTCAAAGCACTTTTTACACTAGGAGTCACATTCACCCATTCACACACACATTCATACACTGGTGGCCAAGACTACCATACAAGGTGCCACCTGCTACTCAGTTTTTTTTTAACTCAATAACACCGATGGAAGCACCATCGGAAGCAATTTGGGGTTCAGTATCTTGCTCAAGGATACTTCGACATGCAGACAGGAGGAGCCAGGGACTGAACTGCTGATCTTCCGATTGGTGGACGACCCGCTCTACCTCTGAGCCACAGCCGCCCCCAAAATTTGCCTGACTTGACAAAATCAATTAAGACTTGAAACTTGATTTAAACACAACACAAATGACTCATGACTTCACTCAGACTTGAGTCTTTCGGCAAGTATGTTATGAAAAAGTTACAAGTTGCAGAAAAGAACCATGAATAGCTAACATTTCATTACTGAACACCGTTTGAAGGGTGGATTATAACTTGTTTAGGACTTGTAACTCAAAGTTAAGGACTTGGGACTTGAAAGCAAAGACTCAAGACTTACTTGTGACTTGCAAAACAATGACTTGGTTGTACCTCTGCTTATAAGCAGTCCAACAATATAGTCAGGCAGTTGCTGGAGGTCTGTCGTATGTGTGTTATCGCTATTTGGTATCTTCCCTCTCCATTTCTTTTTTCTTATCTACACTATAGATGGTAAAAGCATCATCCTGTCTCCTCTGTATAATCTTTGCATCTCCATCTTAATTGTTTACCCACAACTCTATTCCATCCTCTTTCTCACATCTTTTAAAAGTCCCTCCATCTTTTCACACCCTGTACTCTTTCTCTGTCTCCCAGCTTCTGTTTCAATCCACCCAGTCCTTATATTCAGTGATAAATGAATACAAGTTGAGGCTGCCCTACTTCCTGTGCGAATAGAGGGTAGCCACAGGAGACCTGGCGTAGTGCACCTCATAAATCAGCCCGCCCTGCAACACGAAACGGCAGAGGCTTGCATCTGCAGTGACGGAGCCTGCAGCCACACTGGTCCCATTGTAATCAACAGGGCCAGGAGTTCTGGAAAGGACCGTGTAGCTTGTAGCAGTGATTGTGCCATATTTCTAACAGAGCTTAACAGTTGGCTACACAGAGTTTAGCCACAGCAAATTCAAACTGACTAAAGTCTTCTGCTACCACTGCTATTTGTCTGGGTAATCAAAATTTGTGGGGCTTATCAAGAGTCCCCTGTAATACAGTTCTGAAGTTTGTCACGTTAATACCTGTGGTATTTTGTCATCCCAAGAGCCTGACTTATCAAATGTAAATGCACAAGACACTATTTTCACAGCATAAATTTCACTTGCAGTACTGGTACTTGCGCAGGTCCATATAATTACTTATTCATATCCCATCTAAGTGTCCCAGTAAGTCATACCTGTGAGCCAGCACAATACCAGAGCCAGCTACACCTGTGTCTCTCCTGCTGTGACTGGTCAAAATGGCTGGCAGCAGGTCAGTGGCAGTTCAGTGAAATATTTCTACCACTGCTCATATTTTTTACAAAAGGACAGCTTGGAAATAAAAACACTTTTTAGGAACAGGCTGCTCAATTACTCTTGGGAGCTCACATACTCCTGAGTATTCTGACTTCATGGCGGAGAGAGCCATACACAGAGCCATAATGGAACAATAAAAGAGTGGAGGCATAAACCAGCCATCCTGAGACGCATTACGTATCTAAACGGCAGCGCCTTATAAATATTAACTCTTAATTATGAATGAACCACTTCCCTTCCCTTGGCTTGCTGTGGCATACTTTAAACCACACCTGAGTAGAATATGTCTGGTTTCCAGCTTGGTGGCTGCACAGTGCCTAAAAAAGGGATTGAAAATGAACTTTTCTACTTTTTTTAAGTCCATCTTACTAGATTGAAAACTATGGCATTAGGTTTTTTAAATTATCATCTGAAAGCTTGCTTTGTCAATCACTTTGTTGGAGTAGGTGCTACTGTATGTTCAAAATGGTAAGTTCAGTCAGGAACACTCTTGTCATAGATTTAACCATTTATTGCAACAAATGGAAATACAGTTATGTTTGGCGCTAAGGGCTCCAGCCTTGAGGTGCTCCCTGGATTAGACAAGCCGCATGCTACGTCAAAGCAGGGAGCGCATGCAGAAAACCCCAAAGCACACATTAAATACCATTTTGACCTTAGAGCCATGTTAGGACTCTGAGTTAGAAAGGTGGAGGCTGGGGTGTTGGAGGTAAAGCTTTGCCGCCAGCAGCAGCAGCAGCAGCAGCAGCAGCAGCAGTGTGTGGCAGCATTGGTGTAGCAGGGTGAGTGAGTAGGAAGCCATATTTAAATGGACCACCTTGTGTGGGAATGGGCTGTGATTGGTGTGTGACTAATAAGAAACAATGATCCAATCAGCTGGCTGACTTCCGTGTCCTGCATGAACTAACACAAAGCTTCATTTGACGGGGATGAGTGGCATGTAGGGGTGAGGATTGCAGATTGCATCCATCTTTAACTTCAGCCTGTTAGAATTCCTTCAGTGTTCAGGAGGTTTTTACTGGGAGCCAAATTATACCTCTTCCTCGCAGAAACAAATGGACAAGGTGATTAAAACCTGTAAAAACAACTACTACAGCTAACCGTTTTTGCTTATCCAGACATCCGGGAGGTTTTTATCGACAGCTGAATTATCCACAGAGGTCTCTTCCTCTCCAAAACAAACAGGCCCAGTGACTTAAACTGGTAAAAACACTGAATAAAGCAGTTTCATGTTAAAAACAATCTCATCGCGGAGGGGCTGCTAAAATGTGAATGGCCCTGTAATAGAGGCAGTGTTTGGTTTGTCTGTTCTGGGCTACTGTAGAAACATGGCAGTGCAACAAGGTGATCTCTGTGGACGAGGACCCGCTCCCTGTGTAGATTTATTCATCTCATTCTAAGGTAACGAAAACATAATGATGCTTATTTTCAGGTGATTATACAATAACGAAATCATACTTATCATTTCTGTTGTTGTATTGCCTTCTGGGTATCCCGTTTCTGCTTCTGTTTTGTTTGTCAAAGCACTGTGCAAACTTTGTTTTTAAAGGTGCTATGTAAATAACGTTATTGGTATTATTATTATATCTTGTAGTATTCTATTCAGTTTCTACCAGTATATCCTCCTAAATCCAACATAGTGAACCTTTAGCTGCTTCTTGTTGAGACACAGGCTCAGTTGGTGATGACGTGTGACTCACATCATAGCCACTGTTGCGGATGCCTCTCCTGGGCCTCTCCCTCATAACAAGCAGGTCCATCTCTGTTCCTCCAGGACTGGGACTGCTCAGGCTCTGTCTGCTGCGATAGGCCGTCTGCCCGACCTGTGAGTGCCTGTCAATCGGAGTAAAGGATGGATTCAGTGCATATCCGACCTGGGGTACACTTATCATTCATTGAAATCCTTTCAATTCAGCTTTCTTACTTTTCAGCCATGGTTTCAGAGTGTCTGCCAGTGAAAGGCAGGTGGGGAGTGGAGAGGGTGGAGAACACAGTTGGGGTTTTTATCTGATTCCCTTTCAAAAAAGGTACAAAAAGGTAGCCGTGCAGGCCAAATAGATACAGTACATGATGATATCCCATGAGGACATCAAGTAAAAGAGCTGAATCAACAGTAATTATAATAATAATGATCCATATGCATGGTATGAGGATATCCTTGAGGCTCTGCATAGCAAATGCAATACTGATAAAGCATCTAACAAAACAACAATGTACACTCAATGACAGAGGACGAGATGCGTATCAGCAAACCTGCTTGCAATGATCCCCTCAGTTAGGTAAATGCATGCTGCTGGTGTAAGTGATCAGTCAGACACTAGCCTTGACAAGTAGCTGCTAAAATCCTCGTCTTCCTCACCATGTTGGGATATAAAAACAGCTAAATTCAACCCTTTGCTGAGTCAACACATTCACAAATTCAAATGTTGCTTTCCGCTCTGAAGGTAGCTAAATGTTAATCTCATGTGGACGTGTTTCATCTGAGTCTGTACTGATCAAAGACTCCGTCTGTATGTACATCTGTAAAGTAGAAGCAGGACAGAACCAGCATAGTGGACCATCCGACACCCTGCCAGTCCTGTTATCTCCTTTTTGGAAGCTCAGGACTTGAATCAAATTAATCAGACAGGCCTGATGGGTCTCTTGCTGCCGACTAAGACAGGATAATGACAACATTAGAGGAAACAGTTTTACTTATCTATAAGCTAATTAAGCAAGGCAGGGGTCAGCAGGGAGGAATAACTGGCCATGGTTAGAAACTCTGTCCACCAATATGAACTGCCTTGTCACCTTCAGGACTTTGTGACTGCTTGAATTGTATCCTCACACCCTTGTGTTTACACTCAGCCAAACCCAGGTTCCACCTGCTTTTCCACTCTCTTCTCACCTCCTGTGAGACTTGACATAAGTGGAACCTCGCTCATCATCAGGCTCCAGTGGTCTGCCATGCTCACCGGCTGCCCTCTCATGGCCGTGCCGCTGTCTCTGCACCACGGCTCGACCGCTGCTGCTGCCGTCTGTGGAGGGGAAGTCATAATAGCCCTTCCTCTTAGCCTTCAGTCTCAGCTTGTTCCTGTAGTGCTCGATGTCTGACTTCTGCTTCAGGGCCAAGTTCACCTGCAGAGAGGAAAGAGCGCAAGATTCAAGGAAACATGAGGAGATCAGAAGCAAAGCAGACACGAGGTTTTCTTGCTGCATGCTGTCTATGATTCTGCACTGTCTTGAAAGGGATGTGAGGATGAGAGATCAGAGGGTTCATGAGGACAAGAAGCTCTGAAAATGAAACGGTTAAGCAATTATTACTGTCCAAACACTATTATTTTTCATGTTCATTATATTGCCTTTAAATCAAGTGGTGCCCCCAGGAATTTTTCATAGTGGTGGCCAAATGGAGCCATGGAAAACTGAATTTTAGGAATTTCATTTTGCTGTTGACGTAGGTAGTCTGGTCGAAAAATATGTCAGTATTTGAGTTAACTAATTGCATACTGATATACTTGATGGTTTCTTATTTTACACTTAATATTACCAATTATCTGATGTGCATAGACTAATACCAACACAGTTATCATTTTGAGTTCTACAAAAATGTTGTTTTAATGGGTTATGTATCTATACATGTTAAGTGATTCATTGTTCTTTGAATAGGCTGGTTGTCCTTTTCTTTAAAAAGACAAATATAGAGCTTTTATTTGAAGGGGTGCACTTATTATAAGAAGCAAAACATCTATTGGTAACAAGCCTTCTCAAGTTTAAGGGACGTTCATCGATACCCATAGAACCCATTCTCATTCAGATTTCCTCAAGTGAGAGTTCAAGAGACCACCTTGAGATTGGTCATGCCAGTTGTTCCTTTCAAAAAAATGTTGCCTAAATTTGGAGCATCATTTACTTCCTTTTGAAAAAAGCTATGCTGACATGGTTGGTACCAGTGGATGCCTTAGGATGTCTAGTTTCACAAGATACCACTACCTTCCTACCTAGCTTAAAAAATGAGCTTCTCATGGCCCACTTAATGACAGAATGTGGGCCTCCAATTATTTTCACCAGGGGGGGTCAGTGGGGGCAAGCAATTATATAATTTTCATCAGGGTGGCCATGACCCCCCTTCTGGGTGTTGAACCAGTTGTATCCAGATGTTTTGATCAATTAATTGACAATATATAAAAAAAATCATATGTAAATATAGAAACAATAAGAATATGCTATGATTACAGTGCCAAAAGAAAATGTCCTTTTCGAGCTTTGGACACCCTATTTCAAACACCTGATTGTATTCTAATGTGGTCACTGGAGGTCAGGTTCATTTTCTTAAAGAAAAAAGAATTCTATTTTATTCCACATAATTGATTAAACCCCCAGAAACCTCTTTAGTTATTATTTATTTAAAGTGTAACAAAGTGCTCTATTTAACTCTGGAAACAGACTGTTGATTGTTGAGTCTCATTCTCAGGTCGTCAAATACCAATTTGTGGGGTTAGGAGTCCAAGTAAGTGGAGCTCGGAGTACAGCCGCTTGAGGTGGTTCGGACATCTGATCAGGATGCCTCCTGGGTGCATCCCGTTGGAGGTGTTTCAGGCAAGTTCCACAGGTAGGAGGCCCCTGGGCAGACCCAGAACACACTGGAGGGATTACACATCTCATCTGGCCTGGGAACACCTTGGAGGAGCCAGAAGGAGCTGGGAAGCATTGCTGGGGAGAGGGACATCTGGGGTGCTTTGCTTGGCCTGCTGCCCCCACTACCCGGCCTTGGATAAGCGGATGAAAATGGATGGATGGATGAGGTTAGTGGTTCGATCACGCTACCTACCCGAAGCATCAGTAGTTGACGACTTGGAAATGAGACTCAACAATCATCTATCTTTCTCCAGAGTTGCACACAGCACCTTTAATTCATTCAGGACTGTGTGGTTTTGGTTTAATCAGAGCTGACTGATTGTTTCTTAAAACAGAAATAAAACTTTGGCAGAAAATAGTAATGTCCTTTTCATTGTTCATAAGAGACTGATAGAGAGAACAAGTTTTCAGGACCTTTAACACATTTGTGCATTTGTGTTCAATATGTTCATGTCAGTCTGTGTTTCTCTCTAAATGAATGTGTGCTGGTGCATCACCTCTCCATTGACTATGGCGGAGTCCTGGCTGCGGTCAGAGGATGCAGGGTGTGTGTAGTGGGGCTGAGCCACCATGGGCTTTATTGAAATGAGCTGCAGGGAGCCAGAGGAGGTGTCATATGGATCTGAAGAACAGAGAGGGAGTTCACTCACAAAGAGACTACAAATACCTCTGATCATTACATTGTCAGTCAAAAGGGGAACAAACTGTCAGACTCCCTCTTTGTATCTCTCCCCCCCCAATCACCTTGTCTCTCCGTGGCTGACACTGTGGGATTATGTCAAATATCCGTCGCCTGTGTCAGCAAATGAAGTGGTGGACGGAGACGATAGATCACAAAGATAGCGTTGGCTTCAAAAGGTTGTGGCAATGCATCTCTGTGATAGATGAAAGCCACTGACTTTGCACTTTCGTTCCTTATCCGACATCAGACAAACTGGATTCACTTCGAGTTTCCCTTAACTCAGCTGATGAATTATTCAAATCCACCCATTAAGAAAATCATAATCTAGCGAGCTCGATCCAATTTACAAGCCGGGTGTTTGAGTTAGATTAATTTCGCTCACACCCACCAAATGTGGAACATTTAGCTTCAGTGGACAAGAATAGAACAGCAAATAGTTCAACGTCTGAGCGGCTTTCACTTAAAGTGCTCTGCATCTGAGTGGAGCAAAGGATGTGTGACTTCATGTGGTCTTTATGCATTTTTCTAATCAGTGAATGTGTGACTGTGTGTGTGTGTTTCTGCCAGCGTGTCACAGCATCCACTGGTCTGACATACTGTATCATGTCAGCAGAGTGTCTGTCTCATGCATATTCATCGGGTCCATCTCTGCTTACTGCTGAGTAGCTACCTTTCTAGCTGTTAAAAAAAAAAGCTGCAGTGGGAATGCATTTCTCTTAGTGTACCTGTGTGCATGAGAAACAGAGACTGGAAAAGTGTTTCCCGCAGGAGAGGGAAAAGATTTTTTTGGCATTTGTGACACACCTGACCTTGTCGGCAAAGGAGCTGTAGAATAAATTATTTGTATTTGCATCAGTGTGTGACTCTCACCGTCCCTCTTGCGCGTCTCCTCCTTTGTCAGTTTCTGCTGCGCTGTGACTTTCAGCACTGTCAAGCCCCTGCCGGAATTCAGCTTCTCTGATTCGTTGCTGATGACGGAACCGTCCTCACTCGGCAACTTGCTGCAAGTAACCATAGCAACAGGAAAAGGCGGTGAGCTCTCCGGAAGCTGGGCTCACAGCCAGGTTATGTCATCCCTCCCTTAAACAACCTCACCTTCCTCTCTCGCTCGCTCAGGCTTGCATCCAGTAAACAAAACGTGTCAGTATTGTAATTTTTTGCATAATTCAGTGCATTATCAAAACCATCACTACACACTACACACAGAATCCAGGCTGTGTTTTGTGCACTCACCTGCATGTTTTCATGAATAAACATGTGCACTGTTGTGTTCACGTCTCCTCTACATTATGTATTCTTAAATACGTGTCATGCATGTTTCAAAACCAGTGCGCGTCCATGTCCACTGCTTCTTCCATTAATTGGACAAACAATTGCTTTATCCAATTCTTGTTTCACTAGCTTCAAACGCTGCACTGTAGCTGGAATTAGAGCTGATCAAGCGGCGACTCAGAGGACCACGAGGCTGACAGTGACATCAAAGCACCGTGGTCTATCCCCTAATTGTCTGGTAAAAATGATAACAGCACAGAAAGACAGAGGAACAGCAGCTGCCCTCCCTGCTCTCGTCGAGGCAGTGCTGCAGAGAGCGAACTCCACGCTCCAGTCACAGGCTCAACAAAGACGTGTAATGTGTAATAATTAATTGAGGTGTGCTGAATATGTTTATATTGGCTTTTTGCGAGGAGTGTATGTTTGATCCTGTGTTTGTATTCAGAGGCTAACAGATGTGCGACCTTCAGAGAGAAAGATGCATATTAGACGCGACTTTGTACAGCACGCCTGCAAACATGTTTTTAGATTTGTTTGTATGCAACATGCATACCAGCATCCAACCCTGAGTTCATTAATTCATAAGTTATCCTATCCAAATCGTTTTGAAGTTCAATAATCGCTCATAAAAATGTAACATCACAGCATCATTCAACACGTTTTTCTTTGTCTGGCAGGGCTCAACAGGCATTTTGGGACAGATGTCATTTCAAACAGGCTGTGCGAACGAACAGACACCTGATTGAACGAACACAACGTTTGTCTGTCACTGGTCATGGCGTAAAGTACAGATCTAAAATCATGTTGTACCAGAGACAGCTTTGAAACAAGATGTTGCACTAGCGGCACGTCCTGAGTCTGTTTACTCCAATGGGAAAAGTAAACCTGAGAACAAATTATGATGGATTCTTTTGCCCTCTCAGTCACTAAAGTAAATATTGGACCCTTTTTCCACAAGCTCCAACCCTTCTAAACATTCGGACACTAAAATGGCATTTTTGAGAAGGACAAATCAGGAGAAAACTAACTTTGTTCCAGACATGTCTCCGTCTCAGCGGCACACTCTTGCAAGATCTGGTAACAACTGATATGATCTTGTGCTGGGGTTGATATCAGATATCAAGCTAGCAGATAAGAACGAGCGTAAAAATAAGCAGCAGACACTGAATTTGTACTGTATCCAGTGTTGTGTTGTATTCAGTCCGCTCTTACACATCCTCACAACGGTTCACAACACCTAAAATGAGGCAGAGATCTGAGGTGGAGGCAGCTGTGCCCACGTAGGAGACAGGAAGTGTCTACCATCCTATATCACTGGTGCAGCTGGTAATGTGTCACTTTTTGTAATAAAGCATGGGTCTGCAACAGTTACAGTAACTGCAGTAGGAGGTGTTGAATCCAACATATTAAAAGCAAAGATAAAACAGCCTATTAGTTATAAAAACACCTGTTAGAGAAGCATCTTTGGTCGTACTTGTTGGACAGCTGCTTTTCTCCTAGCTATCGCCTTTGTTCCAGACTTCATCACCTCATAATGAAACCAGAGCTTCAGAGATGAAGTCTACCTTTATGCAGCTTGTTAAAGTCAATTAGGCTCGAGCTAATTGTTAAACATACACCACACAGTATATCTAATCTCTTTATTTTCATTCATGATGTTGCTATTTTTGCGTACTTTCTGAAAAAGCAAGCATGAGACCTTAAAGAGTAAGCTTGTTATGTCCTGGGACAACAGCATCTGGCTGCTTGTAGACCAGATGAACACTAATGAAGGCTGACTTACGGCTTGATCTCAGAAAGAGAAAGGAACCTTTAAGATCAACAGTTTGATAAATACATTTTAAAAAGTTTTGCTGCCTTAGGAGTCACCAAAGTCATTACCACAGGATATCCAGTCTATAGATTCCCCATTCTGTCACATACATTTCATTTGATCTCATTATCCTGCGTGGCTCTGAAAAATTACGCCCTTTTGGATTCCTTGATTAAATAATTTAGCATGATTTAACATGGCAATTAATTCCCGAAACAGCGCTGCTGACTGTCAGATGAGGAAAATGGTCGATTTCACCTGCCCACACAGAGAACCCTGTTAATGACAGCCTATCAGTCAGCGCGAGGGTAGAGTGAGGACAGACAATAGGGCTTGAGGGATCTTTGTGTTTTATCGTCCTGCCTCTCTAGATGCAACCCAGGAGCTTTCTGACAGAGCAGTGGTGCAATTGTTGAGATAACACACACACATTGTAAGCGAATGTAATTCCTTTTGGGACAGTGCTTTTCCTTCAGTGTGAGTTGAAGGAGAAACCTTAATACATTTATGAATAAATTGAGATGGTTCAACTGACTATCATCTCTTTGAGGAAGCAACACGTTTCCTCCTAACATGCTAACATGTTAACTGAGACAAATACAGCACAGAATGATGAAAGCTGAGCCAAGTGGGAACAACTACATCTTAGCTGAGCCTGGCTGGCTTTGAGATATTAATATTATTAACAGAGTGCTGCAGGAATGAGTCTTAAAACTTGGAAACAAGTTAGCATTTTACCACTCCCAGTTCCCTCATATTGAAGTCAGTGGGTTTTTGATTGGTTTTTGGTTAGATGCCTGAAATAAGGTCCGTGCTTACCACAAGCTTAGGAGACTTTCATGGTTTGTTCTACCACATAAAATATGTCTGTAAATACTCTGTAAATACTAATACAAGTGGCTAAATGAGACTGAATGTCATTACGTCAAAAATGGCCTTACAGCCTCACTGTGGTGGCAATGTTGAATTATGCGACTGTAGTGTGGTTTGTTTTTAGCCTAACGTTAGCTTTTTAATTCTGACAATTGCATTTAAGCTTCAAAAATCCTAAAAGTTGTGTTCATTTGTTGAGATTATCTTGCTGAACACAATGTGTAAGTATCATTAACTTTAGTTTCCCACAGATCTTATTTTCTGCAATAATCCAAAATCCAATGGAAAAGTCCCACAGGCTTTTGACCAGAGAACCAGGACGATGCTAACTTCCACGTCAGTCATTCCTGCAGCACACTAAAGTTGCTGTATATTATAGAGCGCTGGTTTTTAAACTATTTGTGTCCGAGGCACCCTAAAGGGCAAGCCAAAATCTCAAGGCACACCTGTATTTATATCTGTCAGTAGCTTCTGTAGCATGTGTTATCACTCTTATCACCACATAAGACAATAAAAATACGAAAAAAATAAGACATGTAGCTTTCGTGTTACTGTCTTCTTTTCTTTCAGTCATAGGTCGTCTTCGCTGGTGCTTTGTTGTAATTTGCTCTGTAAATTAAAGTGATCCATTGTCCCACTCAAAGCTTTCTCCTTTTAAATGTCATCATCCCTCACACTGGCTGCCAATCAGGGCTTTTGATGTGTCACACACTTATAATTCCAATGCACCAACAGCAACAAATAGGCTCCCTGTGAAGGTTTTTCAAATTAAAATAAATCAAATTACATTTTTTGCTGGAGTTTGCCTCTTTATAAGTAAATGGGTGTGCACAACATATTAAATTAAAAATGCATTCATAACTTTTTGTATAAGCCCAGTTGAAAATTGCAGCAACAATGTGCAGTAAACACAAAATCCCACGGTGCACCTGGGTTGGCATCACGGCACACCAGTGGGCCACGGCACACCATTTGAGAACCACTGCTATAGAGGATAAATGCTACTGAAAACATGGCTTTTCCTCTTTGCCACCCTCACGTAAAACACTTGAGGATTTAAGATGGGGTTTTTTTTCAATCATAAATCTATTAAAATCTCAAGTACTACAGAAAATAAAATTGTGAGAGAGAGAGCAAAGATACCAGGTTAGAAAATCAATGGTGGGATTATTTACATATAGATGTCCACCACATCCTAATTAGCTGCTTTGTGCAGCTCTTCATCATTGCAAATATCAGCAGGACATGTTAACTAGCTTCAGCTTTCCGAGTGGGTCCTCCTGGTTGTTGAATGTCGGCCCAGATGAAAGCTAATGCTACAGTTTAAGAGAGAAAAAATATCTTGTATCAGTGTTTATAGGAAACACAGTTTCACATTCAGTAGTGCAGCACAGACACACACAGTCGCCTACCAACGCCTGTACAAGTCAGTCAAGCTTGGATGCTATTTCCACAGATAGGTTATTACTTCAGGAGCCAGACCCCAAAATTTAGCCATTATGCCAATTTGGAGGGAGTGTTTTATCCTAATTATGCACAATAGCTGCAGGGAGGAGAATTCAAATTTCATTCTAACCTTAAATGCACTTCAGTAACTTTAACTCCTCCAGAGTGAAGTATGCAATTAACACTAGTTCTAATAAACTCCAACTATATTTTAAATTAACTTTTGGGTGTTTGTGATGGAACTGTCCCAGGCTTTTTCATATCTATTACAATGCCCATTTACACAAGCGCACACACAGACACACACACACACACACACACACACACACACAAATGCACTTATCAGTTTAAATAGTCCCCTCGTGTTTTAATAGTTTTTGTGTCCTTGATAGCTTTGTAAAGGAGATACTGATTAATCTGTTTTGCTACAAATGCTTTGTAAACAGACTTTTAAATTAATCCAATATTATAATTATCATAATTAAAAATCATGCTGTGTTTAATCTTACCTCCAAAATAAAATAAATCACATCTCCTGTTAGTCTGAATATCAGTGAGATATTGCTTCACCTACATCCAGCTACAATCAAGTTGCAATGAAGCCTAAATTGTTATTTTTTCCTACAATTTCGGAAGTTTTGGTGACACAGATTGCAGCATGAGGCGGTGAATATGTTTAGATATAACGGTACCTCTTGTGTTTGTCTGAGGTGAGGCTTTTCTTGTTGGCAGTCCCGTCCTGCTGCAGGGCTTTTTCAAGGGAAAGTGGCGTGTCCCGAATTTGTAGAGACATCACGAGTGTATCCTGACTGGCAGGCAGGGTCTCTTCATCTCCTCCCTGTTGGCCCAGGTGCTGCTTGGCATAGTCAAATCCCTGGACCGGCTGATGGACAGGTGTTGAGTGAGAACGGAGAGGGACGAAAGAGACAGCTATAAGTAAGATTGATTTCTATTCAAGTACCTGTAGTCATATAAAGTACTGGTTGATAGGACGCACAATGAGATATACATTAGCCAACCTGAAGTGTCAAGAAGACAGACATCTCAAAATAGCTCAAAAGTATATCTTTTTAATAGATGTCCAGAGGACTTAGGGAACAGAACTGGGATTACTGCACTGCTGCGCCTTGAAATAGATAAGCACAGATTCAAGTGAAGCCCTTTTTCATCTTCCTCCAAATTCTTGTCAAATAAATGACTCGCAGTGGGCGGTGACGAGATGAGATCAGCGGACTCTCACGGAAATACAGTAGTGAAGTTAAACATTAGAGGATGAGAGGGAGGAGGAGGAGGAGTCGTGGTGTTCTACCTAACACTGGGTGTCAACATGTTTATAGAGCAAGGACCAAAATAATTCAACCACACACACACGTATACACTAAAATATTTAGGACTGCTCTCACTGCAGTGTCAGAAACTGTGAAACACAAGCTGTGCTGCCAAATCATTACCCCACCGACTGAGGAACATGCATCCTCTCTCCTCCTATAGCACACACACACACACACACACACACACACACACATACACACATAGGGAGAGTAAAGATTTTCTTTGGAGCCAGTTTTCACACTACCTAAAAGTGCTACTGTAGCCAGTCTCGAAAGTGGAAGCTCTAACAAGGGTGTGTGATGAAAGTGTTTGGCTTACAGATGGTGAAAGTGATACAGGGAGGGTGGTGCAAGAGCCTCATTTAAATTTTTAGGACTCACTCTATCTTTGAGCATTTTAAGAATATTTCCCCAGCTTTTACATTACTTATTAGAAAGAGGCGGCTATATATTCTGCCTGGAATGTGGTGTTTGTTCAGAAGCGGGCCGCTCGTATTTCATATCAGATTGAATTAAGCTTTTTGGTGGTTTTTACATGATGAGACTTTGCAGGACTTTAGATGTTGTGTAACTCCTCTGAAAGTAGCAGCAAAGTGGCGTTTGCAGTTTAATATAGAAGATTTTATTACTTTCTCCTAAATGAAATTCCATAAATAAGGCAGTGGGATGTGCTGAGCGTTACACTTTGCAGTTTCATTTTTCTACACTGAAGTAAGCACTGGGCTGAAGGAAAAACAGACACAGAGGTGGAGAGACAACTTAGATTGGGACACTGTGTCGCTCTTGATGCAACAACTGTAGAAACAGTTGTCAGTCTTCTCGACACAAAACAAACAAGTGTCAGTACACACACACACACACACACACACACACACACTCACACACACACATTCCTTCAGCTTGAAAAAACAATCTCTGTAATAGCTATTGCAAAGCTTAGTCTTTCAAATTTGCCATCTGGAGAATGCTATAAGAAGAATAAGCAACACCAGCCTTTCATCCAGGAAAATCTCTTTGTGAAAGGTTTGTTACTCAAAAGTGCTGCTGTATCCTTAGTTTTCATCAGCACAGCAGGAATTATTGAAATATATCGTAGGTGATGTCTGCCCAGAATCCTGTTCAGATCCCACTGTTGGCACAGTTAAGTCCCACAGATGAAAACACAGACCGGTAATGAGAGGCAATACAGAGAGGCAGATGAGATACCTGGTGATAATAGCCCACATCTCTCCGATATGCCATCTGAAAACATAAGAAAGTTTCAAGATCAGGAAGGATTCCCCCAGTGCCGTAACACAGGTCATACAGATGTCACTGTGCAGATAATTTATCCCTCACTGACACATACTGAACCACAGTCTGCACACTTTAGCTGTAAAGTCACAAATACCCCACTGCTGCAACTAAAGATCTTTTAATGGTTATTCTGCTGATTAGTTTCTCAGTCAATCATTTTGTTTATGTCATAAACAACTGAAAAATGGCCATTATAATTTCCGCGAGCCCAAGGTGACATCTTTAAATGTCTTTGTCCAAAACCCAAACACACTTCTCTATATAACGTGTATAAAAACTGAGAGAAGCTTTAAAGTTCCCGTGAAATGAAAGTCAGAGCATCTTTGGCTTCTGTGCTGTAACGTATTCCCAGTGAAACAAAATATTGACCGCTGTATGTTTACAAGAGGGATTTACATCTTTAGATTAGGGTTAAATCCTTCGCATTGATTGGACCGCAAAGAAATGGGCAGGCTTGGAGTTTAGCATGACAGCAAAGTCCGCTGCTGAACTCACAGCACACACCCTTCACCGTCAGATCAGGAGGAGGATGAGGGAGAGATGAACGAACGAGACCTCTGCCACATTGTTTTGGAGATGAAAATAAAGGTTTGGCTGTTAACAAAACACACGTCACTTCCTGTCTTCCTCCATGTTGCTCTGTTAGAGAGCTATTACAACCAACAAATGGTGAAGAGCGGCTTTATGTGAGCAGCGTGGCTAGCTAGCCGCCCAAAGTCTCATTTGATTGGATGAACTTTTGTAAACACCTGAGTGCAGGATGCGTTATCAAACATTTAAAACTGTTTTGCCTGGTTTGATAGAAAGAGGAAATGTGTGAATGCAAAAATTCTCTGATACTGATTTTTTTTTAACATAAATTTGGCATTTACATTTCACAAGAGATTAAAAAAATCAATTGTAATGTATTTTTCATTTCATGGAAACTGAACAATGAATTGATCATTAGAATTGTTTTAGCTGCAGCCTCCTTCAACACAGACAGACGGACACACAGAGAGAAAGATAGATACCTTAGCTCGGGGATTGAGGTTGCCGATGGCATCAGCTTTAAAGTCATTTTTATTCTTCCTGCACAGCACAGCTGTGATGATGATGATAATGAGTGTTACTACGGCAATGGGGGCCAGCACTGCGGCGATGATCCAAAGGTTATTAGGAGGGTTCTTGACCACAGCTGAAAAAAGAAACACTTTTTCACCATCGTCACTTTATTACATGACATCTAACGGACTCTAAACACAACAACAGTTAGTTCATTGTTTGGTTCATAGGAAGAAGAACACACAGCCCACTTTTCCTGCTCAAACATGCAGAGGCATCCGTCACACCCACGCTAAGTGACACAGCCTACAGCTCAACCTGATGTGCAGTGAGCCTGATTCAGCTATTGTAGGCAACAATCTATAAGAGAATGCAGCATGCCCTCTCTCTTTCTCTCCCTTGCTCCTGACCGGCTCTGTTTTCCCCTCTACCCCCGTCTCCCTGTCTCTGAGCAGTGAGCAGCACTGCAGCCCAAACAAACACCATCCTGCCGGGAGCGTTTCAGAGAGATTAGACAGCAAAAGAGCTTTCTCAACCTTTTCTTCTACTCCCCTCGCCCCAGCACCAGCTCTTCTTTCTAAACTCAGCATGAGTCATGTGTTTTGGTTTGCATGTCTGTCTGTCATTGTTTCTGTCTATTTGCCAACTTGTCAAACGCAAGAAGGATGCTGTGCTTACGTTCTGCTTGCAGCTGGACAAAATAGCCCAGAGTGAGCGCCATGGTCTGAGAATCCACTGTGTTCAGGAGCTTGGCAGCTGACGTGCCCGATAAAGGAACGCCATTGTGCTGGATGTAGTAGGTCATCTCTGCGGGATTCTTCGACCCTGACACCCTACGGATGCTCACCATCTGATTGGAAAAGACGACAATATCAGCTGTTACTGAAGCAGCTTACATTTTAGAGAGGAAAACAAAGGTAAAACCATGAATTAAGGTGTGGAGTCTCATGAGAGGAAAAACTACACAGACAGAAGAGAGTACTTGTTTAGTAAAACATTCAACCTCTGGCTTGTTTTGATGAGCAATTAGCAGATGATGAGCTGAGAAGCTCCCTAATTATCAAAGGTTGACCATCGAGTAATCATGCAAGCGTTTGCACAAGTGTACATCTCATGAAATATTCATACTATAAGAAATAAGCCAAAAAAGCTATTAGTTCAATGTGTTCATTAGACATCTGACTAACAAGCCAGGGCATTCAGGCAGAACATCAGAATAAGAATGATTTACTGTGCTCACTCTCTAACCCTGAGCATCACAGACTGTTTGTTCTTTCAGAGACAGACAGACTTGGCACTCCCCGTAGGCCGCTGTGCCAGTTTCTTACCTGGACAGTGTAGCTGCCTACAGCAGTGGCTCGTCTGAAACGAGTGCCCTGCTGCCCTGCCAACACAAACAGCTCTGCCAGCCGCTGCTCCATTAGACTGGCAAAGCTTTGGTACTGTCCCTCCAGGCTGACGTTATCCACATCCTGGATCACTGCACATGTAGACGAAAGAAAGAGGATGGCCAAATAGTTGTTAAGACAGAAATTAAATTGGTGGGGAGGAAAGAGAAAGAAGAGATGAAGGCATAATTAGAAATGTGCATGTGTGAGACATTAGCCATAACAAAATGGTAAGCTAATGACAAATCCTTCCTGTGCTTCCTGGGAGCTTGTTTCAGAGTCTTCCTGTCCCAGAGTGGTCAAGCATCACCCAATGCAGCTTTAATCGGTTCTGTTTTATCAACTGTTGAAAAGCAATGATCTTGGTTGTACGTCTTGTTTAGTGCAAGTAAATCCAATTATCCAGGGGATGACCTTGAACCGACTGGGCCTCTCTCTGCAGTAAGTGCAGGGTTAAGAGCCACACAGCTGGGTCTGAAAGGCCCATCTATTATACAGTATAGCAATGTGCGTGCCCTTGAACACTGTGAAATGTTCTCATGTTGCTGGGAACATGTAGTCACTCATAAAGCCAACAATAGACAAACCAGGAGTCATCTGCATCTAGCTGCTCATGTGAAAGAAGACAGCTCAGAATATAAAAATATGAACATGCATTAAGTGTTTAAGATTCCATAAAGTGCACCTGTATGAAATCCACGATTGTAAAGGTACACATACATCCTGTTCAGGTATTTTTGGTGTCGTACAGAAAGCAAAGAAACAATGTTTACTATTGGAGATTCATGTAGTCACTGCAGCATTATAATGTGCACATTATACAACGTAACACACATAAGTTACCCTAGAAGAAGTTGTGTTTAATTGATATAAAAAAAGATTTGAAACAATGATATACCTACCTGTAATAACCCAGAATTCTCTTGTAGCAACGGAGGTGTTCAGATTGTGATACTCCAGTGCTGCAAGGACATAAAGACATAATTATTTTCTCCTATCAGCTTTAAAGGTCCCCTGCAGACACGTTTTAAAGTATAAAAACATTATGATTATTTTTTGTTCTACATGGTTTTCAAAAAGTACAACACAAGTACAAAAAATTCTGAAAAGGGGCTGAAAGCAGATCTACTCTCTCTCCCCAATTGAGAAATTCTGGATCTGGCCTCCGCCCCACCCACCACCACTGCTTGCTCTAGGTTTTGTAACATTTGCTTTTGCTTTCCACTTTCTCTGGCATTGGCACAACGCTAAAACGACATGTGAAGATAGGTCTGGATACGCAAGGCTGGTGAAAGAGCAGTGCCCATCAAGATGGCTAGCGTTAGCATATCAGAAAACTTCAAGTCTGTATATATCCCACATAATCATGAGGCAGTAATTTGTGTGTAATCTATGTATTCTGGAAGGCTGCAATCACATGACCAATGCACTGACAGGAGAAAAGAAGAAAGCGCTCCCAAGCAGGTAGGTTGGGGTGGTGGATGGGTAACAAAACCCAGGACTTTCCCCCAGGACTTTCCAGGAGACTGATGTTTGGAACCGTGTGAACCTTGAGTCATTTTAAGGTACGTCATCACCATGTTTTTTTTTTTTGCTACACCTAACCACGGTAACCTTATTTGTCTAAATTTAACCTCTGTAACTTTGCGGTAATTACGAAACTTTATGTTAAGTACATAACGTCATTCTTGGGGCCCTAATTCATAGCATATCATATGAACCATTGAATGAAGATAAGTTGGTCTGACCCAGACTCAGTCTTTTGTGTAGAGGGCAACCCACAGTGGATTTTTAATGGCCGATATAACAATGATAGCTTGGAGCAGGAAAAAACGATAGCCGATTAATCGGCTGATAACACCTGAGATCCCACCCTACCCCTAAATTTACAACTAAACTAATGAAGAAGTAAAGCTATCCTACATTAGTTAACTTTCATCTAACTCATACAAATGATTGCATTACCTTAAATTTGCATGTTGGGTACGCCATGCAAAAGCCTTACAGCCATACCCACATGACCAGTAGAGATTACAGCCATTGGCCACTATCGGAGCCACATTCTGCCATTAACGACAGTTCATATAAAGTCCTATTGGCACTGATTAATCGGCCAAAACAATCAACTGGTCGACCTCTAACAGGTGTGTCAGAATGGTAAGTGTAGTTAGCATCTTTTATTTGTTCATGTTAGCTTGTTAGCTTATAACTGAGAGTAGCTGACACAGCTTGAATGGTTGTGAAACATACAAAATGATCTGCTACAATGTTACAGTATATTTACACTGTCACATTGTTTTAGTATAATTATGAGGTCCAATGAAAGTTTGCAGAAAGATATATTCTGTCTGGCTAAGATTTTTATATTAAGTGTAATAAGTCTGTGTAATAATAAGCTGGAGGTTTCAGGTTTTATTTGCATATCAGACAGTGATTAGTTTTTGTAGTACCTAATCTAGTTTGCCTTGGGTCCATTTGAATCTCATATTTAAGGGAAGTGCACAGAGGTCACTCCTTTAAGTAGAGGAATTTGAAAACACCTCTTTGGTGATAAACTTTTCATAGACAGAAGTCGGTAAATTCAAGGTCAGGCATTTCAGGAGACATTAACATAAGAAAACGCTATTTTGAGTGGAGGGGATCTTTAATCAATCATTGGTCTTGCCTGCAACGCCTTTGAGCGAGCTCAGGCAGTCAATTTGAGCTGCACTGATTCATACATACACATCATACATCACTCCTCATATGTCATCTAGAAAACACACCCTCCCAATCTGGTGGTCTAATAAAGCTGCAAAATCTTCCCAGCTCTCCCTTTGCATTGTCAAACTGCTGCTGCCCTGCATCTGTACTGCTGCTCGCCGTTTCAGCCCCACCTCCACCCCAGCATCCACCTGCAGGCTCCAGGTAAGGGGGGAATATTTAATCATCACTCTCCAGTATCTCATGTAAACATATCTGTGGGGAGCGATGAGGCCAGAGTCTAGATGCCAAACTCTATCTAAGATCTGCTGTCAAAATAAAGATTTAAACATGAGTTGTCTGACTGAACTGCACTTCCTTGAATTATATTTTACTGAGAAGTTTCATTCACTGTTTACATGCAATCATTTTAATATTACCGTCATAAGTGATAAATTGAAGGTGCAAGATAAGAAAAAAATTGAATTGAAAGTAAATCCAAAGAATTACATGAACATTTTTAGACACCGCAATTTCATTTTCATTTTTCACTTTTTCAGACTTTAAGATGCGTGTTAACAAAGACCTGCACCCTTTCTATCAGTCATCACAATCAATCTTTAATCTTAAAAAATGCACAAAAAATCATCAGAAAAAAATATTTTAACTACCACAACTGTTATGATTGCCACAAGTGGTGGTGGTGCTAGCCTGATATTTGTTACTTGAGGAAGCAGTGCTTATAAACCTGGCCCAAAAGCCTCAGAAACTTCTTGTGGAGAGGGGGAAAACAGTTTTGTGTGGTTGAAATCTCAGTTTAAATCCTCATTATCACTTCATGTCAGACAAATACAGAGGCAAGCAGAGCTTTCAGCTGCCTGAGCTCTGGTTGTCTCTGTGTTCTTTTACATCTATTTCCTGCCTGATTAAGCTCTTGTGCTGGAGGCTGGTGCAGTGTTTGGGGGAATGCTGTATCACTGGCCTGTGAAAGCAGGCTCGCTACAGAAATGTACACTCAGGCATGACAGGAGAGGGTGGGGTGGGGGGTGGGGGGAGGGGAGGGGGGGGGGGGCACGGTGAGAGGAACAGTCAGGGCTTTAGCATTGTTAATGGATAGGGCTGCAGGGCTGTCAGCAAAACCAGTCTAACATTGTCTATAAGTTTGAATCATGTGGCATATTACTCGGCGCGGAGGTTTAACATGAGCCTCTGCTGTTGTGTGATGAGAGCCTGGGGGAAACATTTGTACAGCATTTATAAGTCATTCCAAGAGAGGAAAAAAAGCTCCCAATTCATAGACAGAAGGCTATTATTAAAAGAATTTTGCATCAGCCCTTGGATTATAGTTCTCAGTGATTGTTATGGTCTAAAAGGAGACATTTTGCAAACAGCTCCACTCATATTCCACCTGAGAGAAATAGTTGAGAGGGGGAGAGGGGGAGTGAAACAGCTAAGCGCAGCCATCCAGCCTACACAGTCGCCACAGGAACAACGGAGTACTCGGCGCTACAGACAGACACTGCGGAGTGGTGTGAGATCCCGGGCCTTTTCTGTCAGAGCAGAGCCCAAGGTGGTATGAGAATCCCCCACTGTTAATTATTTACTGCGATAATTGGCTTTGAAGTGAGGAGGCAGCCGCTGCCAGCATATGCTCGCACCTCCTGCGAACGGCATAATATCACTAATGGCGAGGCTACAAAACAAACACAGTGAAGAACTCACTGTCACACGTTCCCTCGCTCTTTCTTTAACACTCCTGCCTTCCTGAATTTTTCTGTGTGTGAGTTTACGCTCTCTTTGAGGCCGTTCTTGGTGTTGAGTTGCCTCCTATGCTTTCCCTGCTCCCCAACTAAATCATCCTGCCCGTGGGTAACTTTGCCTTCGAACTTAATTCAATCACAACACAAAGTGAGTTTTAATTTAACGCTCACTAGCAGAAATCCTATTTATCTTGATTTAAATAGTGTGTAAACCCAAACTGCCATCTGCCCTCATTGACACTGACGTTGTATCCAATCTCTGGAGCTGCATCAGACTGGATTTAAGGGATGCAACTTGTTCTGTTTTGGAGGAAACAACCTTAGAATTTTCTGTCTTATATTTGTATCGTCTGTAGCCACCAGTATTCCATATTCCACTGCAGCCTGGTTGACTGCGTTACACAGCACTAAGGCTGCCCTCATGACTATGTCTTATGTACTTGGTTCAGCTGGTCATCAGGCTCCTGTAAATACTATACATCACATCTAAACCAATTTAAAAAGCTACTGCAGAAGGTAAATCACGAATGCAAGGCAAAAAACTCCACTGTTTGTTCTTGTAAGTAGCTTGAACCTATTTATCTCTAACACCAGGTCACAGGGTGTTGGAGCGCACTAACACACCATTAATTCTGGTCTCTGTACGGCCAGACGTATAATTGAGGAGGAAAGCACAGTTTCTGCTTCACTTTCACATTCTGCAAAGGACACATAAGCCCCTGATTTGGAAAACCGTGTGTGTCTTTGCAGATAAATGGATATTATCTAACATACTCCAGACATAACAGCACTTGACTGAACATGGAATTTTTCGTTCAAAATTCGGCTAAATGTGGTCCAGCCAGGTGCACTCTGGGAGGTTAGAGAAGATCTGTAGCACATATACCCACTGGGCTTAGCAAAGGAGAAGAGGAAGGTTGTTTTTAAAGAGTGCTTTCTAGATTGGGCTCAGCTAGGAGGCAAAACAGCCCCTAGCTTAAAGGGACCAGTCCGTCCCAAAATTAATGAATATATATTCTTCCTCTTACCTGTAGTGCTGTTTATCAGTCTCGACTGTTTTAGTGCGAGTTGCAGAGTGTTGGACATATCAGCCATACCAGTGTCTGCCTTCTCCTGAATATAATGGAACTAGATGGCACTGGGCTTGTGGTGCTCAAAGTGCCAAAATACACATTTTAAAAACTCAGCAGCAATGTCTTTGTCCTAAAATCATGACCGACTAGTCCATACACATTGGTAGCTTGTCACCTTCTACCTATGCCAATCCTCAATGCCAGTTTCACATAGATTGACCACGTCAGTGAGTAGAAAAACGTAGGACAGACAGAATGACTGACTGACAGAATGACACACTGACACTGTCATTGACAGTGACAGGCATCTCTGTGCAAAGTTTCATGTCTCTACGACATACGGGGCATGAGATATGCTCATTCAAAGTTTGCAATTTCAATCAGTTGCTATAGCGCCCCCTTTGGCCACTTGATGTAATATTGCTTCATTCGCATCCTCCCATGACCCTCTACCACTGTGCCAAATTTCACATGGATTGACCAGTCAGTGAGGAGAAAAACGTGGAACAGACACACAGACACACAGACACACAGACATACCCACAGACAGAGTTTTCGTCATTAGTAAGATTACTCAAGACCTGGCTGCAAGCCCGGCAACCGTATCACTGTGCAGTAGAAAGCGTGCATCTACGCACAGACGAGAGGCTCCTGCTCAAGATAGTGTGTGATGTAAACATTAATAGCGTCCTCCTCTGCTGAGCTAATGTTAGCTAGCTCAGTGGCGCTACGTGGGCTAGCAATAAATGCACACTTCCCTCTGCGCCGTGATACAGTTGGTGGGTGTAGTTTGGTAGAAAGAAAATAGTTCCTACATGAAACTGCTCACAACAGGGTCTGTGGATTATCTTGAGTAACCAAGTCATGATTTCTGGAAAGAGACATTGCTGTTAAGTTTTTCAAACGTATTTTTGTGGCACTTTGAGCACCACAAGCTGAGTGCCATCTACTTCCAATAAATTGGAGAGAAGGCTGACATTTCCAACACTCTGCAACTCACGCCAAAACAATCTAGATTGATAAACAGCACTACAGGTAAGAGGGAAAATATGTATTTGTGATTTTGGGTGGACTGTCACTTTAACTCAGGCATCAGTTCTGCTGTGATCCTGAGCATAACCTTGTATAGAAAAACCTCTGTCTTGTCAAACTGAGCAAAGTCTGGAGAAACTCGAGCACTGCAGCTGGTTAGAAACCATTAAAATTCAGCTAGCGAGACTCATTTCTGCTCAAAACCTAACCAGAGCTGCAATTTACAGGCGTGGGCCAATCCAGTGGCTGCCTCTGGATCTCCAAAGTCTCCTTGACCCGGTGTGTCTTCATACAGATTTTCACAAGACCTCCTTGAGCTTGATAAAACAGAGATAACATTATGCAAGACAATGAGGTCTCTTTCACATATATAAGCTGTAATACTGTGCCTATACAGGAGACATAGTGTGAACAGCACTGTGAGCCCAATACACAATCACTCCACCGTAGATACAAGCATAAAACAGGAGAAAATAGACTTGAAGCTCAAAAATACGCTTTGGGTCGCACTGTAAATGTGAGAGAAAATGTGTGTGAAAGAAGCTTATATCCCCCTTTCATCCGCAGCTGCCCAGTTCTTTTGCTGGACCTGTATTTGAATTATGCCTTCTGCATCTGCCGTATCTCCCTCTATTGAGCAGTTTACATATCGCACAGGAAACAGGCTACACACAGGGACTCTGCTAAGATTGCTGTTTAGACTCCGGCTGATTCCCTGTCACTCTTCATTTGTTTTTCTCTGAGCACAACTCTAACAAAGATGGAGCGCTTGGCTGAGTATGCCCTCAAAGGAGGCTAAGATGAAAGGCACGGGCTTAGTTGTGTCCTTGCATCAACTATCTTTAAGTGACTCAATCATTAAAAAACAACTGTGATCGTAAAAGCAGCAGAACAGTCACAAACATCCAATTACTGAGAAGCTGGACGTCAGTCAGGCTTAGCGATACGAATTCCTGAGTTTTACCATCGCTCAGATAGACCATCTGAAAGAGTCCGGTCCATGTAAATGCAAAACGATGCTCAGAAAACATCCACTTTCACCACAATAAATCAATCACAGTTTCTAAGGTTGGAAGGGGTTCTGATTCCTCTTGTATAGTCAATAAATATATCAGTTCCTTTGTCCAAGGGTCTAAAACCAAAACAAAGCCTGAAAAGTTTATATAAAACCTTCTGAATGCTTCAACAAAAGGAAGAAACACAGAAAGGCACAGCACCTGTTGTCTTTTTCTTTTTTCATTGGTCTAATTTGTTCCCAAGAGAACACGAGAGCTACTCCTGATGTCTCTTCTTGTAAGGCTGTTGAATTACTCCCGACTAACGGACATATATTTGAATGCAAATTGTAACTTACGCTCAGCAATGACAAGTGGCGGATAGAAGAGGAAGTAGCCCACCAGCTCAGCTGACAGCTGACCAAGGAGGTTTGAGGCAGTGGTGCCATTAAGGAAGACAGTCCCATTCCTCACAGTGTAGACCAATGACACAGCAGGAGAGCCTGCTGCCTGGGAGACACTCAGCATCTGGGAGAAGAAAAAAAATCAGTAAGCGCACAGGCTCAGAGTCAGAAGAGGACACTGAAATACATAGGTATAAGCACATAAAATGCTTGGGATTACATTACAGTAATGTGCACATCTAAAAGATTAATCCGCGTCTTGTAAAACAAACTAGACATGGCAATAAAACAAAGCCGAGATGACAAACATCAAAAAATCAATTGTTGTCTTGGATCAACAAATATGAAAATCATCAACAAGCACAACGGCGGGGGAAATTGGCAAGGCATCAAAGAGTGCAAAAATACTGCAGCATTATTTTTTTTCACCCATGAATAACCGTCAAATTAGCTTTAATATAGGGTGCACTTTAATGTGGCAGCTCATTAAAATTAATACAAACATTGCCTCCCTAAACATAATTAATTTGCATCTTAGAAGCGGCTCTTGTTTAAAAGGCAAAGCCTGAAGGGGACAATTTTGCACAAATTGCACACAGTTTGCATCTGTCTGTAGCTGTCAGATCACCTAAACCACACAGTACAACTGATGCGTGACGGGAGACGAAACTGTTACAGTTACATCTACTCTGACACGCTGCAAACAATATTTAGAAAAGTCTGGTATGCATGCATCGTCTAGCTTAACATTTGTTTGGGTTGCTCTGTATACTTGATCTTGTCCAAGATAAAGGTGATATCGGGTCTCTATCAAAGTCACACCTGTCACAATGAAAACCAAACACTTCAATGCTCGTCTTAACTTGAAAATTATGTTATAAATCACAGGATTACCACACACACAGTGCTACACAACTGTTACACCACATTACCTGAACAGAGAGCCTGCTGTTGGTGTTGAGCACTTTGACCTGCGCCTCAGAAAACACCCTCTCAAGCCTCTGCTCCATCATTTGAGAGAAGCGACAGGACCGAGGATCATCGCCTGGTCCCACAAACTGCAGCACTGGAGCAGAAAAACAAAATGACCTCACAAAACAGTACACTGGCAAAACTACTGACGCCATTTTAGAGAATTCTTCAGGATGCTACAACATTGTGTTTTTGCTGTTTTTGGCAGTGTTTATATTTGGAACACTAATTATATGATGGGTTTTATTTTATGTCATGTAACTAAATTCTGAGTAGACATGCATTATTGTCATTGCCTCCTCTGATGTGGTATCACAAGATTTATTTTATTACTCCTCAAACCTAGTTTCTGCTGAAATTGCTCCAGAGCACAGTCACAGCAGGGACAAATAACAGTACGTCTCAAGCTGATCTCTGACTTTTTTTTTTTTTCTTTTATCTCCACTGAACACTAGCTGACCTGTTTTCAGCTGGAAGCCAGTGGCTGGGCTGGATCTCCATAATGCAACTGGGATGGGCAGGGCTGTTACCATGGGGAGGTACTGTCGCAGGTCTGAAATCAGCTTATCACGGCCATAGGAGTCCAAGCCTTCCAGCACTACAGAGGGAGGGTAAACCATGTCCCCTCCAGTCACGTGATAAGCCACTGTCATGTTGGGGGAACCGAATACTGTCTCCACCTGAGAGGGTGAAGCAGAGAAGAGGATTAGATGTCTTTAAAGAACCACATTGGTAGTTTTTACCATGTTTTAGTCCGTTAACTGTACAATGCCTCTATGTGAGTGGGCGATAATTTTACATTTCTCTTACTACACTAAGCTAAAACAGTGTTTCATTGCCTCCACTGGTTGAAAATTTCAAGCCTTTTTCCACATCTGATTATACCCAGCTTGTTTTCCTGGACAGGTATGATTTTCAAGACCCACACCTGTCCCCACTTTTCAATGTATGTAAAACGTATTCATTGTGCAATATAAGAGAAAGCATGCTGGCCAATTCTAATAGTCCATTTTAAAGCCAATATCGGCCAATACCGATGACATGCCAATATTATCATCCTATAATCAGATCCGCTGTTAGGCAGCACATTTAAAGCTATCGTTTTGGGAAATTTCAAACATGTGAAACTAAGATAAAATACTTTAAAACTAAAGTAATTCAGGAAATACAATTTCAACAAATATTTTTTGGTTATTCTCATAACACTGAGCAGCATATCTCAACAGTTAACGTGCCTGTTAGTAACACTCTCATATTATGGGTGGCGCAGGAAACAGCTGACACACAAAGTCAGCAGTCAGAGGATTAAAACATTAAGATACTAAATTATTATTCTCATTTTATTTAACATATTTATCATCCCACAGATCTGAGCCACAGAACCAAACCTGTAAATAAAATTAAGACAAAATATCATTCATAAATAACCATTTTTGCAGTGCACCCTCCGAGCACCCGCAGGTACCCGACCTGTTGCAGGACTCTGGGATAGTGTCAGATGTGATCAGAAGCAGTGATGTCCCGAGGTTTTGAAATACACCGGTGTATCTCCACTGCAAGGTGAGAAATTAAACCACTGGAGCTCAACGTTAAGTTGCTCTTTGAGCCAAATTTTCTGCTACTTTTTATAGTTTTAAATTCCAGTAATAATATATATCTAGATAAAGAAGTTTATTTTAATCACCTCAAACAGGAAAGTTCAATCCAGTGAATTACAGTATACTTGAAAATCAAATAAATACATTAATAAATTATAGCTGTCTTACTCGAATCAAAACGCTGATGACCAAAACATAGAAAATCAATACTCACAAAAAAAAACGTATATATAAATAACATAAACTAAAGTATAATCAATAATAAAACTGTTAAAAACATCCAAACAATACAAAAGCAAGATTAAAATCAATCAAAGTTTAGTTTACATCCTCCTGAAAAACATCTGGGTGTACAGTGGCATCTCCTGTGGAATAAAAAGGTACTTCATCACACCGATGTTAAAGTGGTGTAAATCAAATGTTACCATAAAGCTGTTACTCGCCGCATTGCAGCTTGATCGGCATCATTACCCACAATATAACCACGGGTATTAACGTGATAAACGACATGATAAAAGTCTCTGACGCTGACTAATTTCATCTCATGGTCTCTATCGTACTGCCAACTATGTTCCGAACACCACCACAAGGGTTGAAAATGATTCTCTACCTTTCAGATAGCCACTGACATTTGCCTGAAACAGGGAATCATAACAGTAAACACAGAGAATCCGTGTGGTAAAATGTGATCAAGATGACAGGCTGATCTGAAAGCTCTTTACAGATGGGCATTTTCATTAGAAATAACATTTCACTGTGCTTCAGCAGGAACAGCGCAGGTAGAAAATCATAAAATGAATGAAGGCTGAATTCTATTTAGCTGCTTCACTTTCAGGGCCCTGGTATTATGCGTGCCGGCTCACTGTCACGCCGTCATGGCTCACTGGGACACTTGAATGAAACGGAGTCATCGTTAATGTTATTAGTAACACCTGTGCTTTTTCTGCTGTGACAAGTCAAAATGTCTGCTGTGAAAAAGGCCTGTCTGAAGCAGTTTTAAAGTTTTATATTCACGCCATACTGATGAAATGAATGAGAAGAAGCCACCCAGTGTATAGAAGCCGGTGAATCAATTCAAAATTGCACGCATGCTGTGGTCAGCTGTGATGTAAAATATTGTAGTTAATCTGTACAAAGACATGCGTGGTGTGTTCCTTTGTAAGATCAGAGGGTAGTGTCAATCAGTCATATTAGCAAATGAGCTGAATGACAGGATGTTAAACTGTACTGGATTGATGGAGCATGTGAAGAGTGTATTCCAAACTCTTGCTAATGAAAGCAACAGGGGAGAGAGTAATTATGGAATACAGATATGCGGAGAGGCAACCAGGAGGGACGGGCTGCTGAGGAGGGAGATAGAAGAGAGTACAATGAGCGAGACATGGGAGAGACTGTTAAATAGAGAGTTTGGGACAAAGAGGCTTATGTTCCCTCACTTCAAATCTAAGAGGCCAGGTATCACTGTGCTCTCAATGTGTGTGTTTCGTAACTGCATCTATTGACGAATGCACGTGTTCGTCAGTAAGAGTTTGACGTTTTGGTGAACTCCACGCACACAGAAACCGGAAAGGGAACGATGATAGATGTTGCGAAACTGGGTGTGCGTGTAGGAGAGGTGAAACCATTCAGGTCTGTTATCTAAACCCATCTGAAAGCCCGCGCTGACAAGGAGATCCACCGGCCAAAACACTGAGAGCCTATCCTCTCTATAGCTGAGAGTAACCACTCAGCCTCCTCACAATTCAGCCTTGTTACAAGCTCTGTGAAAAGAGCCCTTTATTATCACTTCATCCTCTCAGGCTTCACCCATGTGAAGGTGTTATTAAGAGATTGCATTTCCAGCAAGCCAGAGATTGGTAACACACCCACCAACTCTATCTAAAAGAGCGTGAAAGACTGCCAACAGATTAACCCGACGGATCTCAGTTAGTCAGTTTTCTAAAAGTTTCAAGTCACCGGAGAGCCCTGAGTACAAGCCACCAAAATAGTTTACTTTTATGTATTCTTTAAAGGTTCAAACTGGTTTTAGCCTCGTGGTTCAATTCATTTAGTCTATTCCTCATCATCTTTTTAGCATCAGCACGGCACATCGCTCTACTCCCAACCATTTATAACCTATAATTAAACACAGAGGCAATTTCCCTCGCCAGCAGCTTGCTTCCCATTGGATGAGAGAGCAGCGCTACTAAAAGGAACCCAAGCAATGTTGAAATGGGTGACAGGAGTGCACTGAAGCAAGACACCTTCAGAGACTACAGAGACAGAGACAGAGTGAACATGTGAGAGCATTGACCTTCACATGGGCAGGACGAACACACCGGGCCTCACTCAATTATTTGATACTTCCACTTTGAGAAATACAACACGCTGATACATTTCACCAGATTGCAGATATACAACTCACACACACACACACACACAGAAACATGCACACATAAATGTACTTAACACTTGCTCAAAATTGCAACACTCTAAAGGCACTTCAACTCACTGGAGACTGGGAGGAGAGAATTTTTTTATGCAGGGAAGGAATCCAGCTCCTGCTTCATGTATTTCCCCTGCAAACAGTATTTTTTTTCCACTGCCTAATTTTATTCTCAACATTGATTTTTTTCTCCCATGTTCAGAGTATGCACAGAGAACATTTTACCAACTCACTAAAACTGTCCCCAGAGGAAGTCTTTGCTTTTTACACACAAGTGCTCACATATAGACTCAAACACATGTTTCTACTTCTCTCCGACTGCATTCTGGAGCTTCTCATAGCCAAGAGGTGCTCCTGATACAAAGTCACACTGAGCGGAGGTATTAGAGGCTTATTGGAGGGAGAAAATGGTTTTTGGCACAGTGGGAACCATGATTGGTTCCACAAATGGCTAATCCACAGACACAGAGATCACTGTGAGCGCACTGGATCTGCTTGTGTCATTATTGCAGGAGAAATGATGAGGTTGATTTTTGTCAAACCAAAATCTGGTGTGTCCATGGCTGTGATAAGATTGCCTTTTGGTGATGTGTTGTCTTGTTATAAATCAGTGAATAAATAAATGAGGGAACTGGAGCAACAGTTCTCATCTACAGCACTGCTACAGTCCTAATCTACATCTTGTTTTAGTGTTGGTACAGTTACTCAAATATGTGACATCACCCGCTGCCTTCAGGGACACATTCAGTCAACCTAATTTCTATATTAGTCCTCATCTCTTCTCACATAGCCTACATGAGAGCCCTCGGTATAAGTGTCTAATTCACTCCATGCTAATAAACCTCCAGATTTCTGGTGAGGGCACAAATAGGAACCATTCACTGCTCACCGGTGTTGGAAAAATGCTTGATTATTCAGCCGAGATTGAGCAACAGATTGGGTCTGAAAAAAGTAGCTGTCAATCAACATGTCATATTTACTAACTGCTTCAAAGGAAAAAAATGTGAGATACAAGCTTCACATGAATCTGTTCATTAAGGAGAGGAGACGCTTGAATAGCAATAAATCTGCATCTCTTTCACTTCACTCCATGCAGAAGTTACCACTGCACAATCAACCACAATCTGCACCAGAGTACCAAGCCTTTGTATCTGGCAGAACTTTTAACACTTCCAAGAACAAGGCAAAAGCTTTTTACAATTAATTTTTGTATGCAGTTAGATTCTTTGGGCAACAGGACTTTAATCTGTGTCTGAGTACTGATGCTGATTGATGCTGCAGAGATAGAAAAACAGTGGTGTGGATTTCACTTAGTGACCAGCATTAAAGAAAATACTGTTTGTAGGTAAACCAAGCATTCATTTATTTTCCGTAACCAATTATTCTGTTAGTGGTCACAGGTGTGCTGGAGCCTATCCCAGCTGACACTGGGTGAGAGGCAGGGTACACCCTGTACAGGTCACCGGACTATCGCAAGGCTAACACATAGAGACAAACAACTATTCACGCTCACATTCACACCTACAGACAACTTAGAGTCACCAATTAATCTGCATGTCTTTGGACTGTGGGAGGAAGCTGGAGTACCCAGAGAAAACCCACACTGACATGGGGAGAACATGCACTCTTTGCACAGAAGGACTCCCCCACCCTGGGTTCGAACCAGGAACCCTCTTGCTGTGAGGTGACAATGCTAAACCATGCATACTACTCTAAATCTGCTCCATGTTAAGATAACTCCTTGAGCTTATAGTCGCTTTAGTGACATCATCAGTATCAGAGAAATTGTTAGCACTTCTTACACCAATGGCTCTCTTCACAGCTATACTATTTCATATTTTTGTTATATACAGTACAGGCCAAAAGTTTGGACACACCTTCTCATTCAATGCGTTTTCTTTATTTTCATGACTATTTACATTGTAGATTCTCACTGAAGGCATCACAACTATGAATGAACACATGTGGAGTTATGTACTTAACAAAAAAAGGTGAAATAACTGAAAACATGTTTTATATTCTAGTTTCTTCAAAATAGCCACCCTTTGCTCTGATTACTGCTTTGCACACTCTTGGCATTCTCTCCATGAGCTTCAAGAGGTAGTCACCTGAAATGGTTTCCACTTCACAGGTGTGCCTTATCAGGGTTAATTAGTGGAATTTCTTGCTTTATCAATGGGGTTGGGACCATCAGTTGTGTTGTGCAGAAGTCAGGTTAATACACAGCCGACAGCCCTATTGGACAACTGTTAAAATTCATATTATGGCAAGAACCAATCAGCTAACTAAAGAAAAACGAGTGGCCATCATTACTTTAAGAAATGAAGGTCAGTCAGTCCGGAAAATTGCAAAAACTTTAAATGTGTCCCCAAGTGGAGTCGCAAAAACCATCAAGCGCTACAACGAAACTGGCACACATGAGGACCGACCCAGGAAAGGAAGACCAAGAGTCACCTCTGCTTCTGAGGATAAGTTCATCCGAGTCACCAGCCTCAGAAATTGCAAGTTAACAGCAGCTCAGATCAGAGACCAGATGAATGCCACACAGAGTTCTAGCAGCAGACCCATCTCTAGAACAACTGTTAAGAGGAGACTGCACCAATCAGGCCTTCATGGTCAAATAGCTGCTAGGAAACCACTGCTAAGGAGAGGCAACAAGCAGAAGAAATTTGTTTGGGCCAAGAAACACAAGGAATGGACATTAGACCAGTGGAAATCTGTGCTTTGGTCTGATGAGTCCAAATTTGAGATCTTTGGTTCCAACCGCTGTGTCTTTGTGAGACGCAGAAAAGGTGAATGGATGGATTCCACATGCCTGGTTCCCACTGTGAAGCATGGAGGAGGAGGTGTGATGGTGTGGGGGTGTTTTGCTGGTGACACTGTTGGGGATTTATTCAAAATTGAAGGCACACTGAACCAGCATGGCTACCACAGCATCCTGCAGCGACATGCCATCCCATCCGGTTTGCGTTTAGTTGGACCATCATTTATTTTTCAACAGGACAATGACCCCAAACACACCTCCAGGCTGTGTAAGGGCTATTTGACCAAGAAGAAGAGTGATGGAGTGCTGCGGCAGATGACCTGGCCTCCACAGTCACCGGACCTGAACCCAATCGAGATGGTTTGGGGTGAGCTGGACCGCAGAGTGAAGGCAAAGGGGCCAACAAGTGCTAAACACCTCTGGGAACTCCTTCAAGACTGTTGGAAAACCATTTCAGGTGACTATCTCTTGAAGCTCATCGAGAGAATGCCAAGAGTGTGCAAAGCAGTAATCAGAGCAAAGGGTGGCTATTTTGAAGAAACTAGAATATAAAACATGTTTTCAGTTATTTCACCTTTTTTTGTTAAGTACATAACTCCACATGTGTTCATTCATAGTTTTGATGCCTTCAGTGAGAATCTACAATGTAAATAGTCATGAAAATAAAGAAAACGCATTGAATGAGAAGGTGTGTCCAAACTTTTGGCCTGTACTGTATGTTAAAGATACCTTGTGGAATTTTTGACCACTAGAAGTGCTAGTTTTCAAGAGGGGTTCCCTTTTGTGTTGGTTTCTTGTGCATGAGCAACTGAGATACACATGCACGTGCACATACAGTATATGCAGGTGATACACACAGTCCTGGCAATGGTTTCACACGTCTCCACTGATTGGTGGCGGTAACGTACCCAGACATGTAGCAATGGGAAAACAAAGGCAAGAAGGAAGAAGACTGCAAGCAAGTACATGTGGTGGTTCACTGGGTTTACAGATGTTCTGTAAGGAAGGTCATGCATTCAACACATTTATCAGGCCTCAAGGATACACACAATGGGCCTCATTCACTAACGTGTGTAGAAAGGTTTTTTTGTCTGCGCACAAAGTAAGTTTGCATGCCAAATTGCCATCGGATTCATGAAACGTGTGCACAGGCAAGTATGTTTGCCTAGAGGTGTGTTGAGGAGAAAGCTGTTTATTTGTTGTAAGAAAGAAGCATGGCTTCTTATGCAAAAAAGCAAAATAATTTCATGACTGAAGTAACTTAGACAATAGTGTCTGAGGTTGACGCCAGAATAGGCAAACTTTTGTGAATTGTTTCCTTGGAAGAGACAATCGTAAGTAAAATTTTAAAAAGAGGCTTAGGCTGCAATAACCGAAGCATGTCCCCTGAGAAACCAACTGTGGTTCAGGTTTCATAGTTGAATATTTTAATTACGACAAAAATTGATGATGGTGAAAGGGCCTCAGTTCCGTAGTAATTTTATACATTTGGCCAATGCATTCGTAAATTAATGGTTTCAATAAATGCAGTTTTAATATGCTACACATTTAGTTAAAAGGTGTATGTTTAAATTTTTTAACACAGCCACGCCTTCATCATTTGTGGGTATGCATAGTCTGAGACAGAAAAAGTACACAAAATACTGAATCCTGGACTTGCGTGCGTAAAACGTTCATACATACAGTTTAAGAGTAGATTTGAGCGTATGTACTGTTTGTGAATGAGGCCCAAAGTGTTTTGTGAGAATCAGGGAATATATACATAACTTTCTTTGATTGATAGAAACCTCCACTGGGTATATTTGAGTCTACACATATAGCTAAATGGATGTTATGAACTTATCCATTAAATGGACTGAATCTGTAGAGCAATTTTCTACCTTACTGCACATAGTGCTTTACAATTTGCCTCTCATTCACCCACTCACACACATTTACACACTAATGGTGGCAGAGCTCTAATGTAGCAACTTGGGGTTCAATGTTTTGCTCAAGGACACTTCAACATGTGGACAGGAGGAGCCGGGGAGCAACCGCCCACCTTGTGATTAAAAGGTGACCCGCTCTACCTCCTGAGCCACAGCCGCCCTATTAGTTGAAACAGCTGCCTTTCTCTCGAGTGATCAACAGTAACTGATAACAGCCTGACCTGTGCTTGGGCGGATGTATCATTCAGAGCTTTGCGGAGGCCCTGACTTAGTCCCCTTCGCAGGTTCTGCCTCTGAATGCTGTCCAGCCTGTTTCTTCTCACATAGATGGAAACAACTAGGGCAGACATATAAAATCACAGAGAGACAGACAGACAGAAATAGGGAGAGACCAGGACAGACACCGGACAGAACGTTAGAGAAATGATTAACATTCACAATTTAATGTTTTTTTAAGAGCATGGTAAAATGTTGTTTACCTGTTTTCACCCACAATCTCTCCGTGATGTTGCACTGCTGCGGTGGAGCCTCTGTGGTGGTGGTAAAAGGAGAAATAAAGATGGTGGTGGCCCCCCTGGGAGGGCTCGTTCTGGGGACAGGTGGTGTGAACGTTCTCCTGTTGGTTTGAATCCTGACGGTCGTGGTGGTGGTTGTTCTCCTGGTCACAGGCGCGGGCTGTGTCGTAGTCGTAGTGGTGGTGGCGGCTGACGGTGTGGTTGCAGTGGAGAATCTTAGGGAAGGCATGATTGTGGTGGTTGGAGCTACAGTTGTGGTGGGAAGCTGGACAGAGTCTGTTGGGGTGTCCTGTCCAGGGGGCAGAGGTGATACCTGAGATGTCCTCTCGGTGGGCCCAGCAGAAAGGGTAATTCTGGCTGACTGAGAGGGGGCTAGACTGGCCGCTTTTTCTTTGGGGAAAGTGAGCGCATCTGCTCTGGATGTTCCAGCGGTTAACTCGTCCGTCCCTGCCTCTGTAAGGACAAGTGTCTCAGTCACTTCCTCTGAGCGATCAGGATCTACTGATATGGTGAGGCTTGGTGATGAGGATGGAAATGGGGCTTTTACAGACATTGATGATGATGCAGTGCCTGGGTGCATGGTTGGTTTGATTGACATTATCTTAACAAGTGACTGTGAGTTTGACGGTGACAATGGTGGAGCTTTAGAAGACACTGTAGAAGCGGGTTTCATATGTAACGAGGACGACTGAGGAGCTTTGACACTACTGTAAGATAGTGGTGAAGTCTTTGAAGATGACGATGATGAATGAAATAAAGGAGATAGTGACACCAGCTCTGTTGGAAGGGTTAACCCCCTCGCTTTTGAATCAGTTGTGTTATTGATATTGTCTGTCTCAGAGAAATTGGGTGCTGGGATGTTTGAAACCGTGACGGCAGCATCAAATGCATATTCAAGAGAGTCAACATCTGCCGGAGGGGGGCTGTGCTCGCTCTTGTACACCAGTGCAAGAGAAGAAGCTTTTGAAGATTTCATGGAGTCAGGAGTTGTGTGCAAGAGGGGCAGAGAACCATCTGAGCCCCATGCAGTGTTCACAGTGGCTCCATGCTGTACATGGGCAGCCGCAGCAGATCTGATATTAGCCGGGGACAAACTCAGTTTCTGTTTTTTATATTCTGATGTTCTTTTAACATATGTAAAAGATGGATGCTCTCCAACAGTCGGGTAAAATGTATTTGAATGGCTGGCGACTACAGTTGGATCAATTGAATTCAATATATGCACATTACCCTCTTGTCCGTCATCCAGCTTTGGATGTTCATACGCCGGGCCATCTGCTTGTAAATTAGAATTTGCCCTATCAAAGCCAGTAGATGTATTTTCTAATTCAAAGGCAGTGCTTTGAAAAGACACAGGCTTGGTTGCTTTCCACTTTGTATATGATGCCATTAATTTTGTGCCAAAGCTGAAAATAGGACTAAATGATTCACTGCTGCTTTGTCCATAACTGGGGGAAGTAGTTGCAGCAGAGGAAGCAGCGGAGGGAACAGTTCTTTGTCTGTCTAAATAAAAATTTGCCCTCTCAGTTCTCACACTGGTGATGTGATCCTGAGAGCGAGAAGGGGAGTTTGTCCTCTGTGTTGGGATGATTTCAGACCATGAGGAAGGAGAGGACATCATCGCATTGTCTTTACGAGAAAGATTTTCAAGAGGTTCTAATGCAGAATCAGACGTCACTGTAGCAAAGGGCATTTCAGTGGGAGACCCATTGCCAGAACCTTCTGAGCCTTTATCCAACATGACAAACTCATTTGTAGTTATGAAATTTGGAAGCTTTGTTGTGAACTGCCCTGATGGAACACCCTTGTCTCTGATTACAGTAGACTCTTCATTTCCATTAAATAAAGCAGAAACTGAACTCTTGGCAGCATTTCTGTAGAAACTCTCTGTAGACTCATTTCCATGTGTCATGTGAACAATGGAGGCCGGTGATGTTTTACTGCTCCCTGCAGTGGTTTCAGCATCGGTAGTAGAAGGTATACTGCGACCAGCTCTGTCGGATTTGATGATGTGAGCAGAGATTTCAGCTGAGGACACTGTCTGGTGAGATTTATTGGGAGATGAAGTTAGACTAGGCGTTGTATTAAACTTGGGGGAAAACGTGAGTAGAGATCTTGTTTGAAAAGGTCTTTGTGGGGGGGTAATGTGGGGTGATAATGAGACTTTGGGTCCGTCTGCAAAATTTTTCTCACTATTGGCAGACAGATCAGAGATATCAGTGTTGTTGAGGCTGAGGCTTGGAAACAAGGGCAATAAGTTTGTAGGCCAAGTGCTGTGTGAGAGACTTTCATGCGTGGTTTTGTAGGTCACATCTTCTCCTAAGCTAACTGGCAATGCTGAACCAGTAAGAGACATTGTCTTACGGTTGGAGGATAGGATCATTTTTAGCGTTGACCATCCTCCAGACTCATGACTGATGCCCTTGGGAGACACTGTTTGTGTTTCAAATTCTCTAACGCTTATAACTCCATTACTTGGCAAATGAAGCGAACCTGACTCTGATGTGGAGGAGGTTGTTCCCGTTCTGGTGATCGAACGGTGGATGGAACCAGTGGCAGAGTCCGGCAGAGTCCCTGTGAGTGAAAGTGAGTTATTTTGTTGAGCTTGAGCGGAAATGGATTTGAGCTCTGCTCCCGCTATCTCTCCCTGGTTGTAATTTATATTGATGGCAGGAACTCTGGGGCTGCGGTGACCCGCTGCCATCAGTAAATCACCTGGATTAGATGTGTGCTCTGAGGACACCATGCCAAAGTGGATAGGTGTTAGCTCAGTGTTTGCAGTTTCAGAGAGAGACGTTTCATCTGCTGAAGACTCGGTAGATCTGAACGTCATTGCTGGCGATACAGCTGGATTTACAGCATGTGAACTGAGAGGCCACATCATTGTATTTCCAACGCTTTTGTGAACAAAAGTCTGACTATCTACCGTAGTCTTGTTTTCCATTTCTGCATATGCTATTTGATTTAACATCTGCTGTGTGACATGACTAGAAGCTGAATAGCCTTTAGGAAGGGTGGACAGCAGTGCTGATGTGGGATTTTGTAAAGCTCCCTGTTGCCTTTGAACAGCTTGACTCTCTTGATTGGAAGGAAATGAGGTGCTAAATTTAAGATTATCGGCTGATAGAGAGTTCAAACCTGGGTTCTGGGTTTGAGTGGTTCGGTATAAAATCTTTAGATTTCCTCCATTGCTAGAAGAAGGATATGATGTGTATGTACTGGTTGCTGGTGACTTGATTACGTTTATGCTTGCACTCCTTATATATGCTCCACTCGCTCCATAGATTTTATCTGCTGATGAGGATAATGAGTATTTTGTCACTTCACTGCCCTTTTCAGTGCTGGTTTCACTTAGAAAGTGTGATGACTCAGTTTTTGTGCTTCGCAGTCCCTTCGTAACAGCTGGTGGGTCAATAACCGAATGAGTAGTTGAGTGTGTGGTTGTTAGACTATCTGTCCAACCCAAAGACCCTGCTGGTGATAATGTCTGAGGGGCAGAGCTAGACCTTATCCGCTGACCGTGAGATAAAGTGGCTTTGTTTATCCACCCAGTAGAAGATGATAGAGAAAACAGAGACGCTACGAGTGATGACTCAGAGGAAGTGGATGGAGCTGGTGAAGATACTGATGATGACAATGAGGAAAACGATACTGTTGATGATGAGACATTTTGGTTTCCATCCATGAAGGACACATGTGATGGTGTAGAGACAGTTGATGCCATGATAACAGTCTGAGGTGGTGTGGTGTGTTGGGGAGACATGCTGGAAGTCAGACCTGAGCTGGCGGGGGAGATCCTGTCTCCCGCAGACGACGATGAGGAGGACATCTCTGAGCCCTGGCTGGAACTATGTGAAGGCCATTGGGTGGTGTGGGTCTCGTCCCTGGTGATGGTTGGCGAGGTTCTACTTCGATCCAGAGTCACTGGATGTTTGACAGTTCCTGCCATGACGGTTAAGACAGAAGAAAAGGCAGGCTGCCCTGATAAACCTTCCCCCTCAGACTCTGAGACCCCATCTGAATGGACGACTGAGAAAGGCACCTCCCCCGCCACCGACAGGTCGGCCAATGGATGAGCAGGAGCAGCTGTGACTGCGGGGTCGCTTGGTAACGACGAGGAGCCGGAGGCATCATAGGAAGATTTTTCTGTTGACAAAAAAGAAAGTGAAAAGAAAGGTTATTATTTGTAATAATACTTTTGAAACTAAAGCTATTTTTATTTCCACTTCAAGTGAATCCTTTAAAATGTTCACACATGTTGGTCAAAACTCTTTTAAGGTACTGTAAGGACTGGCTGAGTGGTGGAAGGAGAACACACAGAGATCAGAGTAATCCGTTGTATGTTGTATTTGAGGTTTGCATAACAGCAACAGTTCAGACTGGTTTTGGTGAGGTTGTGAAAACAAAACTATATACAAAAACACATGAATAAACTTCCAAAAATTTTTCAAAAGAACATAAGGAAACCCAAAAGTCAACAAAACAAAAGTTTAGTTAGGGCAATGGCTAATGGGCAGCTAGCAGCAAGCTTCCAGCAGGTCTGCAACTACATGAACTGAACCATCTTTAACTTCCCTTGAGGAGCTTCTATCCCTTGCTTTTAGGGTACTGGCACACACGAGTGAAACTAACACTGGCGAATATTCACCTTCCGTTCATTTCAATTCAGTGTGAGCAGAGGGGCGAAGCAGACATTTGATTTCAGAGGCAAAGCACATTCACATCTTTGGATCACTTGGTGAAATTTTACAGGCAAAGTCGCAGGCTCAATGAATAGCAAAGGAGTATGTGTGGGAGAGACACTGATTTTTGCTGTGTTCAACCAGCTGCTTTTATATAGCCTACTATTGGCCTTGAAAAATAAAAACTGCCTGGTTAACAGTGATGGCATGGAACGCAAGAAAATGGAAAATGTACCAGTAGCATCATATTTCACTATACTTATTAGCAAGCTACCTAAAATTAGCAAGCAAGCTAGCTTCCCTGTATGCTACATCAGACACTGCCCAAATTCAGTCACTCACCTGCATCCGCTCACATGACCATGCCCTTAAACAGGAAGCTCCTCAGATAGACATTACCAAAGTTTGTCTATAATCAATTAATACAATCAAATAATATCTTTATGTGAAAACAACAAAACAGTAACTAAATTATTATTATATCTTTAATTCAGAAATAACAATACTGTAACAGTTGTTGAGGGGGCTTTAAAAAAGACTGTTCTCTGAATCACTGAAACCCTCCCTCCCTGTACTCAAAATGGTACAGTCTGAGTTTCCTCTACTATGTAACTAATTGGACGCTCTTACTTCCTGTTTGGCAGTTTGGACCCTTGGCCATTAGGTAATATGAGTAGGAGCTCATGCAATAAACATTTATTCGACAAAGTTACACATAAGCAATAAAGGAATCTGATGGTTATTTATTACATAAAATGTAAATGATGATAGCATGTATAGCTGGGCAATATATCACATATTATATCAATATTGTGATATGACCCAAGATATGGTCTTAGATTTTGGATATTGTAATATCGTAAGTGTTTTCTTTTCCTGGTTATAAGGGCTGCATTACAGTAAAGTGGTGTATATTTCTGAACATTACTCCTGTTTTTTTTAATCAAAAATCTCATGTGTAAATATTTTGTAAAAGCTCCAATAGTCAACCCTGCAATATTGTCACTTTTAATTACTGAGGTATTTGGTCAAAACTATTGTGATTTTTTCACAATATCAGCCAGTCCTAACAGTTTGCATCCTGAAGTTATAATCCATCAAGTCTTCAGCTGTGAATGTTAATAGAGGCTTTTGGCTCAGATGTTCTGCAGCTCTTTTCCAGAAGGTAAGTGGTCAAAAGCCCACTGGAGGGTCTTCCTAAGAGCTGTTCAAAATCAAAAAGCAGGTGTTGTTCCAGATGAGGATTAATACCACCCAACTGTTGTTGTTTTTTCACAACCTGGCAACCCAAAAGCTGTTCTTATCAATGGCTCAGAGCTGATCTATAACACATTAGTGAATGATTTATTAAAGCCATTATTTACAATCGATGGACCCATTTTAAAAGGTGCTATATTAAAAAGTGGTACCAAATTCCTGCAGTCTATAAGCCAAAAAATGTATAAAACAACATGGTGATGCTCTGCCCTATTAACTGGCAGCGTGAAAAATCAGACTGCCTAAGCAGTGATCATAATAATTCAGCCTGCATGTCGGCAGAGAATTACATACTCTAAACATGACAGATGAAGCTATTACAAAGCTAGGTATGTCACAGCACCATGTAAGACACCTGATTTGACACACTGCAGATGGCTCAGGTTGTGAAGATTCATTCTGATGGTGTTAGATAAGCTGCAAAGTTACAAAACATAATAAATTAACGTATGAGTTCAGTCTTATAATTGACTGTTGCATGATTATCATTTTAACCTCTGTGCCAAGGTGAAAACAAACACATCTTTCTGATAGTCACAGATAGTAACGTACACCAAGGGCAGACGTTTATGTTTTCCCAAAGGAGAGAAAAAGAGACAATCTTCAAAGTGGAACAAATAGAATTACTTAAGAGATGGCAGCTGTGCGCTCAAGTATAGCTAAGATAACACAAAATGGACTCATGTTACAGTGGTTTGTGCCTGTGCGGGAATTATGCCTCAATAAAAGGCAGCACAAGAGAAGAGATATGGAGGTTTACATTACAGTAAAGTATAATAAAGGTGATGGAGGTGATTAATGCACCAAGACGGCCAACATGAAGTTTTCTCTCATCCATCCCTGTCCTCTGCTCTCCTTTTATTCTCGACACATCCTCGACACATCCACAGAGGGCTTCTTTTATCCATTTGTAAAGCTTTGCAGTCCTGTCACACCTCCCACCCCCTCAGCATGTTTCTCCTGCTGAAGTGTATCCAGCTAGTGCTCGCACACAACTGCTCCAGTGTTGGAGCGACACGAGCAGGAGGAACCTTTTGATGGCAAACATGAACCTCGGCTGCAGAGGGATACTTGCGTGCCAGTCGTTTTCCCTCACACTGTTGTCCAGCTTTGCTTAATTGAACGCACCCTTTGAACATGAACTGTAAAATTCGGAGATTGTCCAGCGTATACTGTGGAAATTACCAAAGCCCTTGAGTCCATGTTTTCTGAATTACACACATGATGATTAGCCTACGGCAGTATGTGCTCACACAGCTGGCACTGTAAAGCTATCTGGAAACATTTCTCTGTCTTTAGATATTTCCTAACCATTAAATGTAAACTGTAATAGGATCCAATGCTTACAAATTCAGTAAAAGTTCCAGGTCACTACCTCATAACGTTTTCTTAAATGTCACCAATATCGCAGTGAACTGGCATAATACTTTTCATAATTTGTTTTCAGGGGAATAAATCTCTGAATTTCATTAGCTGCCGCCATTCATTTCTTAAAGACAGCTCCTTCATGCTGTATTCCTGATCCCACTTAATTCCTTTTCTTCAATAAATCACTAATGTGCTCAAATGTGATTAGTGAAATTGCTATACTGCAATTTTTAATCCATTCTTTTGAAAAAAAAAACAAAAAACGGTGATGTAAAACAAAGAGTGGGAAGAAGGGAGATGTTTTTCTGTGTTCACAGTTCACGTAAGAGCTATAAGATAATAAAGGATATGTATCCTGCTTCAAGGCCACAAAGAAGTCAAACCACCTGGTCATCAAACTGAAAGACAACTTCCTGCCCCCTCCTCCTTCCCCTGCTTAGTGTGCCCGGTGGCAACATGAGTTTGGGTGCACGGGACAGAGGCCAGTCCAAGCGGAGGTGTGGGGTCCACCTGTGGTTTGCCACCTGCTCTGACAGAGCGGAGCATATGGGAGGATTTTAACAATGGACCAGAGAGAGGGGAAGGCAGATTAAAGGAGATAGTGATAGAGGCAGGCAGAGAGGGATGGAAAGGTTTGGCTGTGGAAGACGAAAGTAGCATAGACCCACCAAGATGAGAGAAATAAGTACGGGGTAAGAGTGGTACAAAAATGGGAAAATGATTGAATTTGCCATGAAGTGCCTGGTTTGAAGCCTCGAGTTTGAAGCTGTGAAGAAGTCTGCAGGTCCTCTCCAACAAAAGTAATTTATCTTCATGATTCCTCATACTATCCAGCTCCAGCCTTGAAAGCAAAGATGGCACATTGCTTGACTTTACAGGAGGAGTAGCACTAAAATGAATAGTCAGTCACTGAAAATTACTTAATCAAAAATTAATCAACAACTATTTTGATAATCAAATAATTGTTTTAGTCATTCATCAAGCAAATCAAGCTGTTCTCTGTATACCTATGAAAAGTAATGCGCCACAATTCGTATATAACCCACGTAATCATGAGCCAGTAATTAATTTTTTCATTCATTCACTCATTTTCCATAGCTGCTTATCCTGTTAGGGGTTGTAGGGGGTGCTGGAGCCAATCCAAGCTGTAATTGGGTGAGAAGTGGGGTACACCCTGGACAGGCCCCCAGACTATCACAATTTGTGTGTAATCAGGAAGGCTGAGATCACGTGACCAATGCGCTGACAGGGGTAGAGAAAGACTAGTATAAAGAGCAAAAGTCCGTTTAAGGAGATAGGTTGGAGTCATGGATGGGTCAAACAACGCAGGACTTTTCCCAAGGAGACTGGTGTTCATGTCCTGTGTGAGTTAACGTTGAGTTATTTTAAGGTACATCGTCACCATGTTTCATTTCCTTAACCTAACCTTGATAACTTTAACTTAACCTAAGGAACTTTAAGGCTGATTTATGGTAGGGCACTCGACACTCTTCAAGAGTGTTTTCAATTTATGCGTCGGCGAAATGTTTCATCCGTCTATGGTTAACAGAGATCCCCTGTGTTTTTTGTCCGTGTCTGTTTCCATCACATTTAGTGAAGCATAATCTGCACAGACAGCTGTTAAAAAATCACACAAATATACTGCTGTATATGTGTATTTTATTTATTACCTATAAATTCATTGCTCTGCTCTTGCTCTGTCTTTGAGCAGCATATTCCCCTCACTCCCTACAGTGAGCTTGAAAGTAAAATTAATTAATTAATCAATAAATAAAAACACTGTTTATTTCTTCACATGGAACTGACATAAAAATATCTTGGTGTAGTAAATGTCTGCTA